TGACTAGTGTGACGGGTCTTCGATAGATCTGAAGTGTTGCTATAATCAATGCCTCAGTTCCAGCTTATTCCAAATACTGGTAAAATTTCACAGTCAGCTATCTGTCTATGGTGCAATCCATTCATAGAGAGATATCTTGCTTTGCTATGGTATTTCTTCTGCTTGGTCGTTTTTCAACTTCTATACATGCTTCAGACGTTCAGCAGCTCATCCTTTGGTGCCATATTTCTAAATCCTTCGAGATAGTGGTTTTCATACTCATCAAGCCCCATCCCCTTTCTTTCCAGCTGTACAGTCTTTTGGTATTGGACTTGGGTGGGAACTTCTGTGTGGCTGGCTCTTCAAAGATATATTTTATTCTTTGATGATAGTTAGATATTACAGTTTTTCTTACCTCTTTATCTTGGTTACATGTGACTGCCAAGGTGCTTGCAGTTAGCCTATATATCCGTTACATGTCGTGATTGCAAATAAAAATCACTCTATTAGTCATTATTACTTTTCCTCTCTTCACTATCATTTGGCCAAATTTCTCAAATCTGAAAGATGTCCTTTCAGTTTTTAGTTCAGTTTTTGCATATAACTTGATATCATCCATGTAGAGAAGATGCTTGATGGTAATCCTGGTGATTACCTGACTGAGGAGGTTTAGATCTATGCAGAACAAGAGGCGAGACAATGCATTGCCTTGATACATGCTGTACTTATTACTTGTGCAAATTGCCGTACTGATATGATTTCAAGTGTGGTTTTCCACAGTCCCATTGAATTTTCAATGAACGTCTTTAGAGATTTTATGTTGATTTTGTATAGAGCATTCACCCACAGATCTCATGTATGGGGCATTGAGTCATAGGCTTTCCTATAGTCAATCCAAGCTGTAACAGATTGGTCTGCCAGGATTTTGAATCTAAAATAACTGCTTCATCTATAAGCAGCTGGTTTCTGGAACCTGCAATGTCCTTTTTAACTGCACTCATATACTGACTCATATGGTCATGAAGGTTGATGGCTATGATGTTTGACAGGATTTTTTACATTGTGGGTAAAGATTATTGGTAGGTAGCTGGACAGTACTGTTCCTTTATGAAGATCTTTCATGATCAGTAGCATCCTTCCTTGTGTTAACCAATCTGATGAGAGCTTATTACAAGCAACTGGTTCCTCTATGTTAGGTGCTCATGAACCGGTTATCTTCTTTAGCCAGTAAGTGTGGATCATTCCGGGTCGATTGCTGTCCAACTTTTCATCTTTTTAAGTCACTGTTGGATATCATCAATCATGAAGGTAGCTTGTTGCTGTAAATATGGTTAGATTGTGAATATTTAATGAATTTGAAATAATCCAGTTGAGCACTTAATGCATTAAAAGGTTTGAAAAATTATATAATTGAAAAATTGAAATCTATATAAGTTAAAAAGTTACAAAATTATAATAAATACCTAAGTTTTCTTTCCTCACGACATAGAGGTTTATCTTTTATCTCTTTGTTTATTAAAGCCTAACATTTGTAGGAAATATGGCAAAGAATGGAAAGAATTTTCTCCTTTTTCTTGCATATTTTGGCCATAATTTACCAAAATTCTTCATTTTTCATCAATTTTCCCGCTTCTTATAACCAAATTATTATTACAACTTTGCGGTAAAAAAAAAATGAACAACTGAACATTGTGAAACATGGAAATAAATGAACACTGACTAAAAAGATCATTTTGTCTATAAAGAAAAACATCCGAAACTAGACGGTGAATCGACAAAAGCAACGAAAATCGAGTTCCAGATCTATAAGATGTGTATGGGATGAAACTTTGCCTTATGTAACGTTTGCTGGTAAATCTATCATGATAAATGACCGATTGGTTAAAAAAGTGCCAATTTGTACCAATTTTCATTGTCTTAGACTCACACATAATACACAAACCAGACGACCGAGCCGAATTAGATTAACAGTTGCAGTTACAAATATTTTCCTACAAAATCTGTATGCAGCTGCCTTTGACATGACAGTTCGCATTTGCTGCGGTACAATTTCATAATGCATGCACAAAATTCTGTAGAAGACGTTACCACAGAGCACCACTTACTGAAGTTAGGTTCATTTCGCTGGGATTAACAGCTGACAACTTCAAAAGCCTGGATTAAAACTTAACGGAATTGTCTCTTCCAACAGTACGTGCAAAGGTAATTTGCTAGACGACCGTAATTCAGTTGCATGTTCAGAAATTTTCACTTCAAACTTTAGAGCAATTTCGAAATTGCTTTCATTAGGTTATATTAAAGATGACCATTGTAAAGTAAAGATAACTTCAAAGGTAGAAAATTTATTTGAGAAGTTTGATTCACCCAGCAATTCAGTTTTTTTAATAAATTTTCCCCGGCTTCTTCGGACATCGATAATTTTGCTGAAAAACAAAAATTGAAGTGATGAATATATGATTATTTGAATATAAACGGTTTATTTTGGAACTTTTCAATTTTAAACTTTAAATTGTCTTTAGAATAATAAACTTTAAAATTTCTCTTTTCGATATATTTTACCCGAAATGCTCGGCAAAATATGGAGAAAATTTACTTCATTTTACGTAATTTAACTTTATACTGGCGTCAATGCAACAATTTAAAATAATTCAATTGCAGGGACCAAAGTAAAATATAAGTTTAATATTTAAATAATATACAAATAATACAACAAATAATGGAATAATAGGCCACAATAGACTTATATTAATTAACCATCCATAACCGAAGTAAATAGTGCATAATGAATGATGTGGAAGGAACCAGCGCTATAAATAAGTACAATCAAGCCGTTTGAGCCTGTAAACCGCAAGGTTTACAGGACCACCTTACTGCAATAAAGGTGCTGTGTTGTTTTATAATTTATTAAGAATTAAAAAATTCATTTAAAAAATTTAATCGACGAATATTAACCTATAGATTGCTGAGAAAATTTCAGCTCTGAACATAATGAATAAGCAAATGAATAACATTACTGATTTATCATCTGATGATAAAATGCACCATCAACGATTAATCTTTAAAGCAGTATGGCGAAGTACTTGACGAAATAAATGAAGGTTCATGTAATGTAATCTGTTATTAAAATTGAAATCTATATGCTGCTGGGGATTCCTTAATATTTTACTTCAGAAGTGGATCCATGGTGAACGGCATTAGCCATTGGAGTAAGCCGAACGAACTGAAAATTGTGACCAAAAATTTTCAATCTAACCAAATAAGAAATGTTCAAAGGTAACCTAAGTTTTTGCCAAAATTTTTTATCGATTTTTGAAAGGAAAATTATGAAAAAGTGAAAGTTTTTCATTAATTTCATCTGGTTCCCTCAATATTGCATTAATGCACCGCATTTTCCAATCTTTTCCTACCCATACCTTTTCGCCGATCTTAACTTTTTTCATCTGTAAAAGTCATCGCGAAAAGACGAACTAAATATATCGTAAGCCTTCTGTGATTAAAGGCAGTTATGAAATTAGTTGGTATCACTTTTAATAAAGATTATTAAAGATTCAGAGTTCAGTAAAACTTTTTATCTTTAGTTGTCTATTAGAAAATTACGAAAATATTTCCAGCATGGTCCGCACTTTTTCGAAAAAACGGTGCCGATTTTTTTCTTGAAAAACCAGTTTATTTTCGCACAGCGTAAAGCATCGAAATTGGCTCTTGAAAATAAGAACAAAGAAATCTGCATGATGCTGGCGACTCATTTGTACTTCAACCGCAAGTAACTTCCTAAAGAAATTATCATACGGTAAGCCAGCAGATCAAACCTAACCAGAACTGGTGAGGTCCCTTTAAAAAAAATTAGGGCTTCATTCTCAGGAACATATGAGCACATAAGAAAATTATAAGTGTATAATTATTAACCACATAATTATGAACATATAATTGTAACCAAGAATATTTTTCGATAAATCTAGCCAACGGCGTTTCTAATAGACTCCAAGGTGAAAAAAATTTCGTGTAGTTGCATTGGATATTGGATTCACAGAGATATCGGGTTTATTTGATATGTTCTCATTAAAGAACGAATTTGCATATCAGTTGGCAAGTATTAGAAGAATTTGTTATAATTAATTCATCGTCAAAAAAAAAATTCGCTTGAAATAAGGTTCAATTATGTTTGACTTCATTTTATGTGAGGGGAATTCTTTTAGTTTTTTGAAAATAAAATTATTTAATTCAAAAAAATCCAAAAATCCTAAATCCGAATTCAAAAAGTATTTTTTTATTGAAAAGTAGGAGAGCAAATAAAAGTAAATTTCACATTTTATACAAAATTTTTTAAATTTTATCTTTTAGAAAACAATTCAGAATTAAAGGGAAAATTTTTTTTTAAAAAGAACGGCCTGCTTGGGTTCGTCGACAGAACATTGGATTTCAAACTAATTAACCACATCCTCCTTCAGTTAATTTCCACCAGTCCCACCTCTTGTATGTAATCTCGCCAATTCATTCTCGTTCATCCCAACTACTTCGTCTACAACAACCTATGAAAAAGGATTGAATCCATACTGTCTGCTTTCAACTGATGTAAAGTATCGGTAAGGTAGATCTTTGGACCTGAGCTGGAATTAATAACAATAAATCCCTCGCGAAATCTCTTTTCAAATTTACCAACTATAAATTTCAAAAGTCCACTATAAGAGGAAATTTTGACAGTTTACTTCTTTACTTATCAGTGCTTCAATTCTCATGTCGCTATTATGGCTTTATCAATATAATTAATTAATGTATTATGCATTCAGTCCGAATATCAGATAATCCGAAAATTTTTCTCATGTCCATAAAAGAATATTCTGTGAAAAGAATATTCTTATCTTTTGTTTTTTTATAACAGAGAAGGTATCATTTGAAATAAAAGAAAAACATCATAATTTTCGAATTATGCAAATTGCAAATTTTATTATACACAAAATAAGTCAAAATATTTAAAGAAATATATTTACAACAAATAAATTCATAAAAACCTGATAAAAATGCTATTTTAGGAAATAGCTTGAAGGAGGTCCAAATTCTTCATCTCTCTCATCTCGACGACCATTTATCCACTTCATATAAGCTTCTGGAAAAAATCAGAAATTTATGAAATTTTCATTCACTGGAACTAACCCAGCTTTTTTTTCCATTTCTATGATAAATTTTTAATAAGTAACCATGTACCTTTTCCTTTGTCCCATTCACGAACTTTGATAGGTTTCTTCTTCTTTTTGGATTCGACTTTGTCATCATCGGGCAATGGTATATCAAGATATTGAACTGAGAATGGAATTTTAAAGTTAAAAACATTTAAAATAAATTAGATCAAAAACACACCAAGAAGCAATTAGAACCACATCAAAATATAAACCTGCAATTTCAGATGGTGGTTTAATTTCCTCGAGACCTTTCCTTTTACGAACTTTGTTCAGTCTTTCAATCTTTTGCAATTCACGTTTCTCCAAAAATTCTTTTCGCTTTTCACGATCCACTTTTGTTTTCTACAATGAAATTTTTACAATAAATCAAATTTTGCATCAAGCGAAAGCAAATAAAATGAATTTAAGCGAAAAGAATGAAATGTTTAAAGATGTTTAATGTTTAAATGATGTTTAAATGTTTAACTTAAAGATGACGAAAAAAATCATCTCAAATTATTTTAAAAAATATTTTTCACTTATATATAAAAGGCAATGCCTTTTGTTTATGTAAGGCAAATAATTCGTCATTCAAAGCAATTCTAAATTCGATTCTAAATTTTTCTGAAAGGTTTTACATACCGATTAGATATATACAGAAATTTTAAAAGAACCTGAGTAAGTTCAAGAAGTTCCTTCATTTCTTCTTGCCTTTTCGCTTCACTTTGTGAGAAGGTAAAATGTGATGCACCGTATAATCGCTGCTCTGAAGCAAATTAGAGAAAATTTTTTGGAATTTCATTTCATATAAACTTTATACACGAAAGTCCGGTAATTCCACCTTACAAGTAATGAAAGATGTCCAAAAAATTAGGTTGAAATCATGGCGAAATGATCAAAAAAAACAGAAAGATGGAAGGATCAGAAAAAAATAAACATAACTGAACACATTACTTTCTGCTAATAATATAGTGAGGACTTTATTAGGGAAATAAACATTGAAATTGAAATAATGTAAATATAAGTTTTGCCCAGGTACATTGGAACTTCAATCAAGAGGAGACGAATAATAATGATGTATTACCCAATCATGTAAAATTTGGCATAAGTTCATACCTTCATTAGCCACAAAATGTACAGCCTCGCTCTTTTCCGCCTTTGCTTTTTCTTCTTCTTCAATTCTTCGACATTCATCTTCTCGAGCTTTAGCTGTAAAATCTACGAGAAATTCGACCGGATTACCATCCTCTAAATAAAATAAAATTCATTTCAGCAATAAATGAAAAAGCAATTCAAAAATTCAAGACTTCACAGTGTTTTTTTAGAAACAAATGATAAAATATGAATTGAAAATTACTAAAAATATCTTTAGCATCTTCAAACTTTTATGGGAAGGAAAAATTTAAAAATTTAAAACTTAAGAATTACGATATGCTAAAGATTCTCCATTGCTAAGACGACTATAAATTTCGCTTTTTTCTTGCAAAATTCGTTGTATCCGTTGTTGTTGCTCTTCTTCTTCCTTTAAACTACGTTCCAATTTCTTCAACCGTATTTCACGCTGCTTATTCTCTTCAGCTTTCGCTTTTGCTTCGTCTTTTGTTATAAAAAGAATACCCTGCAACAAATAATTTAAAAAATGCTCAAGAAATAGAAAAAACGTAAAATGCGTGGAACAATTACTTTCTTAGATGTTGACGCTGTTGGCACTTGGAAATCCTTCGACTTCTTTTCAATATCAGCCTTTTTCCGATATAATTCAGCTTGCAGATCGAATAACGAAGATGCATCGGAGACATTTAAATAACGTTTTTCGCGACTAGTCGATTGACCATACAAACTGCTCGTCATTATTTTATAACTGAATTAGTATCGATCACGTAAGTTTAATAAATGGCAGTTCAATAAGCAAACAGAAACGTGGCAGTCTGACCTCATGTGATGCACCGCAATCCTGCACCATCCTTTACCAATCCTCTTTCACTTCTTTTTTCTAACTGAATTAAATTCCCTTACCAGTGAGTGAACCTCGCGCTTCAACAGACAGAGTGAAAGCTATTCGATAAGTTAGGGGAGAATACTTTCATCTCTCCAATAAATTTACAATGACAATTCTAAAAATAAGCTGCAACCCATCACAACTATCTCAACGCATCAAACATTAGATATAAAACCAAAGCTATTTCACAACTTCACAAAACGCATATTGGCTGCAGCCGAAGCCGCGATTTGAAAAATTAACTAATTCTCGGAATGCTTAAGAGTTGCTGGATTTTATTTTTCTAAATTATAGGCTTTTTTTGTATATTTTTTATTTCAGTACAGTGTTTTTTGTCGGTTTATTATAAAAATTATTATTACTAAAAAAGCATTTATTATTGTGTTATTATTTTGTGGTTGAAAGGCTTAACTCAACAAGGTGAAAAACAAAAACAATTAATTAAATCGGGGAATTGCGGGAAAATCTCGAAAAAGGCCTTTAAAGGTGCATAGCAGCCTATTAGTTAAGTCTTACGACAAGCAGCTGTGCGCGGTTGTTCACCGCCGAGGGTCAGTGTTCTTTGTTAAACTGCGAAGTTTTTGGCAATTTAAGCTCTTTGACCATTCGAAACTATTGCGAAATAAAATGGGATTCGTTTATTGCTTCTTTTTTCAAATTCTTTAATTGATTAATTCATTTTGCAAGGAAGCAATGGAACGGTATGATCGAGCCATAACTATTTTCTCGCCAGATGGTCATTTATTTCAAGTTGAATATGCTCAGGAAGCAGTTAAAAAAGGATCGACTGCTGTAGGTTTTCATCCGTCTTCTGTGCCATTATTTAGCATTTCATATTGAATTTAAGGCCTTAAATTAGGTAGAAAAGCCAAACGCGACAGAAGAAACAAAACGAATGGAATATTGGACTTCTTGAACACATTAAGGGACGTTTATTCCAGCCCTATGTGTAATAATTTTCTTATTATATATATAGTGCAAGTGCATTCTGGAAAAGTGAGACTTCAAAATCTCATCTTATCAAATTGTTATTCATCGTGTTGAAAACTTTTGGTATCATCTAAGATCCCCATATTTTATAGAAAATCTCGCCAAAATGCGTTAAATTTCCAAATTATGTCACTCTTTTTAATATTCTACCAAACATTAATGTTAATGTTTTTTTTAATACTCTTCAGTGACGTCCTTTTAAAATTGGCGCAATAACTGCGAGACCTAAAGGGAATATTAACTTGAATCGTGGGATGCATGTATCCCGTTTAAAGCCTATTTTAAACCCATAAATCTTTCTCAAATCGACGTCAGAAAATGTCATGCTTCTTCAGAATTGTTCTCCATTATTACCTTCTAATATCTCCCAATCGCATACTACAACCCATTATTGGACTTTTTTATATGTCCTTTATTCCTTCATCCCATGCTTAACCAGTTAGTGACTTTATTCTCAATTTCCTTGATGCTCTTTTAAATCTCACATTCCAATATTGCGGCATCTGCAGCTATATAATTGCAAAAGGTGACATAAAAATGATTGTACTGAGAGAATACAATGGAAATAGGGAAGAAAGGCGCGAATGGTTATTAACGGTCGTAGGGATTTTGCATATGAATATATGGGGATTACAAGTAGCGAAGGTTCGAAGAGATGTTTGAAGAATTTAACGAATTTTAAGGAGTTCACCTGGGTAGATATGTGCCTAAATTTTTTTTTGCCTTATAGAATGGGCTGAATCTCAGGCTTTCTATGTTTTTTGCCAGTTCACTGCGTTTTTTCTCTTCACATTGCCACAGGCTTTTTTGTGGAAGCGAATTCTCAGTGAATATTAAAGGTTGGTATACGGGGAAAAAACTGTGTAGTAATTGGTGTCGAGAAGAAAACTATTCCAACTTTACAAGATGATCGGACAATTCGCAAAATTCATAGCATCGACGAGCATGTTATGCTGGCTTTCGCAGGTAAATTTGCAAATCTTTTGCCTGCATTTTAACTGCAAAAATCTGTCGAAATTTTTCACAAAAAAAAAAAACAAATTTAGCTCTTTTATTTTTAAATCTTTCATAGAAATCATTTCGCTCCCTTAATCATACATTAATTAAGTGATCAGAGGAGTAAATTTTTATTAATTAACGAATTAAGGCAATCAGTTCTTTATTGTTTACTTATTAATTAAATTTTACCACTCATCTCTAAGGATCCATCGAGCGGATAAAATCACACATGATTGTATCCATCCTCAAATACCATCTGTATTAATAATAATTAATAATTAATAATGTTATCACAGAATGTCGCCTTCGCTGGTTAGGACACGTTTTCCGTCGGCCACCACAGGAGTTGACGCATATTTCGTTACTTGCTAAACCCTGTGATGGTTGTTATCAAAAGCGAAGAGTGCCAGTCAAGAGCAGTCAGGACGTCAAGATTTTGACGTCAAGATTTGTATAGGGCTAATAGCGATACATGGACTTAGACGATGAAAAAGGAATGGCTTCTATTTTTACCAGTTACCAGCGATGGCATTAGATCGCACAGCTTGGAGACATCCCTTGTAGTCAGCCAACTTGACCAGTAATTAATGGTGAGGAGTGACCAGTAATTAGAAAAAGAAGAAGATCCATATTACCGTTAATTCAAATTTTTCTCAACTGAGGCTTGCTGGAATATTGAAGTTAAATCTGTATTTGTATCTAATTTATATCTCTATTCTTTTATTTGTATTTTTGAAGGCCTTAGTGCCGATGCGCGTGTTTTGGTCGATCGAGCTCGCATCGAATGTCAGTCGTATAAGTTAACATTGGAGGATCCAGTTACCGTCGGTTATATTGCACGGTTTGTCGCGAATACTAAGCAGGTCTGCATTTTTTTCTCATAATGGTTTTGATGGTCCACATTCTATAATTTTCGTACATAAAACGATTAAGGTACAGGATCTGTTATTTAATCTCATAGTGCTTAACATAACTCAATTACTTGCGCATAATTTGGAAACGTCTTCACACATTTCCTTTCATTTTGTTTCGTAAAAAATAAAAATGGATCTAAATGCGAAAGAATATTTTTTCGGCATGTATAAATTGGTTTTTTATTCTGTAATTATTTTTATTAATTAATTAATTGTTTTATTAATTCCTTTCAGTCTTCATACGTTAAATCTATTTTCAATAACACCACTTTCAATCTCAAAAAAATTTTATTATCCAGTTTTGTAAGCATTCCAGTATAGAATCTTTTATTAAAATTCTTTTTGATCTTCATTGTCGTATGTCTTTTTAGTAATTAGTCCGAGAAATGATCTTACTGCTAAATTTTTGAATAGTGATTATTGATCAGCTAACGTCGATTATTGTGATTTTGATTTTGAAATTTGAACTTTCCATTTTGAGAATATCTCCTCGATTGGTTTCACTGTAGAACATTTATAATGGTAATGGCAGAATTAGAAATTCGTGATCATTGCTACTGACATAAAGACATATGTCGGACCTATATAATTATTTTGTTGCGGGATATTTAACTAGTTTTTATCTTTCTCTCTACGCATGCCAGGCGAACGTTGTTTTTATTTTAAAGAATATAGATTTTTTGATAGTTTCCTTGTTCGTGAAATTCCTAAAATATTATAACTAACATCGAGAGATTTAGTCTTTATTTTGAGTATAAGTCCAGCCTTAGTCTGTTACCATTTTCTTATTAAATTGGGCCATTGTGAGTGTTGTTCAAACAATTTTTCTTCAGATATTGCCATTGATTTTTTTTTCCGCGTCTTCATTATTATTTATTTATTATTAAAGTCAATTTTTCGTAGTTCACACTGAATTCAGGTATGGCATTTAAAGATTCTCTCAGTGGTCTTCTTATAATACTGAAAAACTATCTCCAGCTCATTGTTTCTTAATTTCGATTTTCCGTTCGGCAATCCTGAACGTGGAAGTTATATGTTAGGCCCTTCATTTAAATTATTAATGGGTTTATGGGTTAATCTTTTCTTTATAGATGTATGTAGTTTCTTCATTAACGTTAAGTTTTCTTAACATAGGACCCTATATAGGAAATATTGTTTTTTTGCATATTATTGTTGATTTCAGAGATTCACGCAGAGCCCAGGGCGACGTCCATTCGGCATATCTATGTTAATTGGAGGTTTCGATTATGATGGTACGCCTAGACTTTTCAAAACTGAACCATCTGGGGCTTATTACGAATATACGGTGATTTTTTTTCTTTTTTTAAAACAATGAAAATTGAACTGAAACTTTTTAAATTTATTTTGTTGAAGGCAAATTCAACTGGTCGAGGTGAAAAACCGGTCAGGGAATATCTTGAAGAACATTACAGTGAAGAAACAACTGCTGATGAAGCCAGTGTTTTAAAACTTGTCGTTAAAGCTCTTTCCCAAGTTGTACAAAGCGGTGCTCAAAATATCGAAATTGCTGTGATGAGACCGAGTGATAAATTAGTAATTTTCTACTATGATATTTGCTATTGCTGTTTTTTTACACCCATAACGAAAATAATTTTCTTTCATGTTTGCCAAATTATTTTTTCCTTATTTATCAATATTTTTAAAAATTTTTTTTTACTTTTCTTTGTATTAGGTAACCGCGATTCAAATTTTTAGGGTCATGTCGATTATCGCATATTGCCTGTGGAAGAAATAGAAGAACTTATAAAAATTGTCGAAGTTGAGAGAGCTGAAGCTGAAGCCGAAGAAGCATCCAAAAAGGGTCCACCGACGAAATAAAATCATAAATTTATCTAAAATTGGTAAATCATATTGTTTTTTAAGGTGAGGAGATTGCTGAGGAAAATTCAGTTTTTCATATTTCATAAATAAATCTAAATTTATCAGTTTGAATGAAAAATTATTTAGGACTACCTGAAAAATGTATCTAAAATTTGTTGATTTTTTATTTTATTTCTTGATAACACTTGCAAATAAATTACATTCTAAAATTTTTATAACGCTATTACGATTAAAATCAGATTATTCGTTTTTTTATTTTTTTAACATTATGTATGGAATTTATCGAAAACTAAAAAATATTCAAAAGTATAATGTATTGTATTAAAAATATATTTTTAAAAATCTGAAAGACAAAGCTGTAATAAATAATAAATAATCAAGATGCTATAAAAACTATGAAGATATTAAAAATAAGATAAGAAATTAAAACTATATATAAGTACAATAATTAACAAAATTTGAGATTTGGAAATATCATAATATTGATTCCTATTTTTGCAAAAAAATCCCCAGTAAATTATGCAAATGGTAAAAATATTTTAAATATTTTAAACATTTTTGACCACTTATTGAGATCAGCAGTAGTAGCAGTAGTAGACTAGATTGACAACAATAAGAAAAAACAGAAGATTCGATTTATAATATCGTAATATCAAAAATAAACTGTCAAGAGAAAACAGGCAAATGATTACCAAAATTTTCACAAACTTCTTTAGTATATATAATTTCTTCTAATTCATCTCAAAACAGACAAAAAGATAAACGGATTAAAATGATAGTTACTAATTAAGCAAAAGTAGTTTATCGTGTCTGGGATTCTCTTGAGAAGTTTCAGGTAGAGAACCATCTGGAGTCCGGACATTAATTAGTCTTTTTAAAAAACTGTCGAGTTGTTGGAAACGAATATTATCATGCAATGATTCTAAAGAGCGAAGCGGTGGCCAGAATCGACGAATTTCTAAAAATGAAAAAATTTTCTTTTGAATGAAGCAAATATATTTAAAATATGGAATATATGCATATATAATATAAAACAAAATATGGTCTTTCAAATATTTCACGAATTTTTAATGCAAGTTGAATTTTTAGTTGAAGTTGGAATCAAAAAAATTCATTTGGACCATATCCCCATAAATATCTGTTTTCATTTTATAAGGGAAATAAAAATAATTAAATTAAATTAAATTTATACCGCCTACTGATATTTCATCTTCTGCCTTATAAGTCTGCAAACGAGGAGCGCTTGAAGACCGAGCAATAACAGCTGTAGACAATACTGCTGGACCTAGAGAAAGAAAAATTCCTATGATTCAAAAATTTAGTAAAACGAAGGCGATTTATAAAAAATTGGGTCACAATGAAAATTTAAAACAAATATGCCAATTGAGATAATAACCAACTATTTGACATGCGACGAGGTACACAATCCCAAAATTTCCCAAAAAGAACATCCGTGCTGATGAGGCGATTATCCACTTCTAAAATTAGTTTAGCTTCATAAGTTACGAAAAATACGACCCAAAAAAGATTTAAAACTAAATTAAATCCTTGGATTTAAATATTTTAAACTGACCTGTTAAGAGGTTAACTGTATGGTGCTTGAAACAATATGGGAAACGTGACCTTCGAGCTTAAAAATAGAAATATGGAACGTTAAAAAATAAATTTTAAAATTAAATTAAAAAATAAATTAAATAACAAAAAAATAATTTAAATTTAAAATAAATAATCGTAAAAATCTTTAAAATGGCATTTAAAGTGGAAAATAGAAAATAAAAATGAATTTCTAGACTGAAAAAAATCACATGAATTTGTTGGTGAAGAACGACTATCGGAAGTTGAAGAGCGATGTTTACAAGAAATTAAATCAACTATTGTTTCTTCAGCTTCACGCTGTTCATCGGGAACCAAATCACAATTTTTATCAAAATTATTCGATTTTTCGCATGAAATATCGCTAGCAGATTTCATTAAAAGATGATGTGAAGAATCTTTCTCCTTCCTTTTGCTCGTCTCCAAATCAGTAAATGAAGAACAACTACCACTAACACTTCGCGATTCTGATAGATCACCGTTCGTTATGAGGCGACGACGATTTCTCGTTGTTATGCTAGATGGGCTGTGTAGAGCCAATTCTTCTGATGCTAAAGCATAGTTAATTAAATTTTTTTAAACATCTTAATTTTTCAAAATTACTGTTTAAACATCTTAATTTTTCAAAATTACTGTTCTATTAAATAATGGTCCAGAATGCAATTCAGAGGAACTGCTTACTATACTGACTAGAAGCAATTTCTTCCAATGCAACTAGGTTAACACTATCATCATTTAAATCATATTCATAATTCAATTCATGACACTTCTTTGTAAGTGCAAGAGCTTGTACGGAATCCTTGCCAACAGTCAAATCATTTAAACTACAAGACAGTGGGCTACTCGAAGAACTTGAATCGGTTTTAGCGACGACACATGGCATTGTGAAATCACTCTGAGACTGCAAATTAATAAATATAAATTAATATAACAAAATCGGCAAATTCTATATCCTCGATAAAAGGCCAAAAATGAAAAAAAAACAGAAAGGAATTTTCCAATTTAATAAGAAAAGAAAGGAATTCATTAAAAAAAAACGATTCTAATTATTACTTTTTCTCCATTAATTGCTCCAAGTGAAGAAAGTGAACTCGTCGAAACAATTTGGCTTTTTTTCTTTCCAGTTATGGATCCCGATTTCCCATTGGAACTGAACAATTTGATGGAAGGATTTTTTTCATCACTTAAGAAAATAATAAAATCCTTCCTTTGGCATTTGGAAATAAAAAATTACATGATTTTTAATAAAAAAAAACGTATCAAATGTAAAATATTGAAAAAAACATTAATAAATAATTAATAAATAAATAATAAAAGACATATTGAATCGTAATAGTTCACACTACCTTGGAAAACGTGTTTCATATATCTTTTCTTTCTCTGTAAGGAAACATGGATACAGACCGGGTGAAAAAAGTAATTCAATATGAAAACGATCCATTCCCTGTTTATCACTATCGGCTCGTGTATCTTCATAAACCATCAAAACTACTTGAGTCATATAATTGAATTCAGTTACACCCGATAGAAAATGGGTCGCTCTTTGCCATTTCTTGTCGTTCACCTAAAAAATCATCGTTATATTAAATTCGAACTTTATTGCCACTTGGCTATAATCATAAAAGATAATAAAAATGAAAAAATGGCATTTATTTAAGGAAAAAATGATAAAAATAATATTCGAATAATATGCATTATTACTGAATATAGCATCATCGAATCTAAGGACGTAAAATATTTAAATTTAACAAATAATCAAAATAATATACAGCACTAGCACAAAAAACACTTTTCTCATTTTTCAAAACTCGAAATTTATCGTTATTCACCAAAAAAAACCTATAACTCACTGAACAAAGGCCTCCGTATCGAATAAGATTCATAAGAGCATGAATATGAGATTCGCTCGTAAAATAGAGCCTGGTACGAACATGACGAAGAGGAGTTGCGATACCTTGTGAAGCTCTTGAAAATTTCCATAATTAAAAAGAACAAATGCTCGAAAAAATCGAAGAAACCGATTTGTATAAAATACCGATTTTGAATCACCTTGGATCTAGCCTTGTTTGACTTTCATCTTCACCTGATGACTCAATACAGTGATGCAGATCGCTCCGAATTTTCTTCAGTAAGGGTGTACAAATGTTCTGGGCGATACTAATTTTACTATCCTCATTTATGCCGTATTCCTAAAATTAGCATAATTTTGTGTATCTACAGTGAATCGAGAAAATTCTGTTCGAAACTCAAGAATAATATTTCCTATTTCCTTAGAACTGTAGTAAATCATTCAAATATATCCTTTTGCCTCCGGCATTTTCTCTGTTTGACTATTTTGAATTTTATGCAGATTATTAGCAATATTTTTTAGAAATAGAGAAATGTCCTGGTCAGTGTCGATGCTTTACTATCCTATTATCCTTTTTCTCTTCTTTTCCATTTATTTTCCATTCTTCCTCCTTCTATCATGAAATATATAAAAAAACACACTGGAACTACTCAATAAAATTTGTTAAGCCAACAACAGCCATCAGCAACTAAAAAATTTTTTGCTAACCTGAGGTACCACGATATCAGCCATATTTTTAACACATAAATACATCCTTTCGAATTCACGCCCATTATTTACACAGAGATCTGGATTATGTTCCATGTCATATTTAATATTATCATAAATATCAGGGATTTTCGAGATATCAAATTCAACTTCACTGTTTTTATTTACTCGTCGAAACTCATGAAGTTCTTTACTCCATCTGCGTTCTGCTAAGTCCCATGTTTCGTTCAAATATAATGAACGATCTGCAGTAAAATAAGTAAAAAAACTGAGAGCACTGAAAAAAATTTCAGAATATTTTAATTTCCGAAAATTAAAAAGTTGATTTCAACAAAGAAAATATTAGAAATAAAACAAAAAAACTGAGCAAAAAAATAAAAAATATTCACTTGGACGTTCAGTTTTGTGCCAACTGATAATATCAACCATACGTTGAACATAACCAGCTATTTCTTCACACATTTTTTTCGGATTTTTGATGAATTCCATCGCATTAGCTATTGAACGTAGTCCGGATGGATTCAAATTCTCAAAATCTTCAGCAATCCATTCACGATCAACCTTCACTATCACATTTTTTAAAACAAATTTTCACTTTAATATTTAATATTGATTAATACCTCAAATTGTTTCATAACTTTAAAAAATATTTGATAACTCGATCAAAAAACTTTCTAAATTACCTGAAGAACTGAATGTAAATAAGATTTTAATTCGTTCTGAAAATCTCTTGCATTACAATCATCATCTAAAAGGCCATCCGTATTTGCAGACTTCACCATCTGCATCAGAATTGGAGTTAATTCACCTTCTAAAGCTAATAAGCCCTGAAAAAACTGAGACCATATTTACGATACCCAAAAATAAAACCAATTTTTCTCAACAAAAAAGGAACTTTTGCAAACGCAGCAGCCGTTGTTTGAACACGACCTTCATCAGAAGCATAGATTTTTAGATCATGACGATAAGTACTATGTAGCCGAAGAAAACCCAATCCTAAATTATACCAAAGACTAGAAAAGGGAAAAATTACAAATTTTTGTAAAAGTCAAATTAAAAATTATAAATATTTATGATTAATGAAACTGGAAATCATTATAAGAGATAATCAATATGATTAATCTGAATATATATGAATGATTAAAAATATTCACCCTGCGTATCTTCTGGACAACTTTTGCCGTCAGTTCGTTTTATCCCTGGATATAAAGTGCGGAAAAGTTTCCCAAGTGCTTCTGCTTGCAAACTGCCTTTAATGGAACACATCTTTATCCTATCCTAATTTTACACACAGAACTCAACAAAATAAGAATGCTGAAAAGCAAAATTTATAAATTGAAAGAAATGAATAAATGAGCTTGAAAGTAAAAAAATAAAAAATTGCACCTGCTGTGGTTAATTCACCACCCCATTTTAGAATTAATAACAACGATTTTGGTTGTTGCTCGTCGTTATCCGACCCTTTAATTTCTTTGGGTTTTATATATTTCATCTGTACCTTTCTATTAATGCCAGAAAAATGACCATACCTAAATTTTCATCGATTAATAATAGCTTCCGAACATGACTGAAGTACTAATATATGATATAATAAATTAATATATAAATTTATAATAAATAATAAATTTAAGATATTTTAACATTTCTAAAACTGTTCGAACTTGATCCCATTTCTTTACTGCTTCTTCACATTTTTCGAGATCACGATCTACTCCACAAGTTTCTCTTTCAGCATGATTACAACATTCCAACTTTTTTATCAGATTGTAACGACGCGTCTACAAAAAAATATTTCGATATTTTAGAATATACGATATATCTTTAAATAATGAGATAATTAGTTAAACCAATTTTTCATACAAAAATCTCAAATTTAAATTTATATAAAAATATCTCATTATATAAAAATAAATAAAATACCAAATAATCAAATAATTTAAAATAAAATAGTTCTTAAGAATTAAGAATTCAAAATTACTTGTTGTTCATGAAGCAAATGACGAGCCAATTCTAGTACTTCTTTTAATTGTGTCGGACGTTTCATTTTTATTTCTCGCAATTTGAAACCATCATATTTTTCGAAAAGATCAATAAATCGTTTATCGGTAACAATGAGCTAAAATAACAGAATTATCAAGCAATAACAGTAGAAGAATTAAAATATATAGCAGTGGTAGAAGCGAAACCATTCCTATTTCGACAGGCAATTTTTTAAATGAGTTGTAAAAAATAGTACCTTCATTTTTTGTTTAGGAGTCCGATCTCCATGTCGAATGACAGCCAGAACACAACGCAACTCCATAAGTTTACCGCTTGGAGTAGGAACAAGTGGAGGATCATCTGCGAATGAAAATTTGAAAACATGAAGTTTATTCATATAAAAATAGGCAAATAGCTAAAGAATAGATTTTTTTTGAGGCTAAAGAAGCTTACAATATAAAACCTGCTGAATTTTTTTTTTCATAAAACTATTCATAGACCAAACCTATATATCTTCTTGCATAATCTTTTGATGCAAGAATTAATATAGAATCAAAAGACTAAACTAGAATAAATAAGCAATAATATTTATGTAATAAAATTCACCATCCTGGTAAGGTATTTGCCAAGGTATGCTCATTGATGAAGCAAGCCGCCGAAGAATTGTGTTACCCAAAATTTTTGCCGTATCTTCGTAATACTTTAAGGAAGTCTTCACAAAGGAAAATCCGTTAACATCACACACGTATGATTTTCCATTTGCACGCAAAAGATCAAATCCACAAACTGTTTGCTGTAATTTCAAAAAATTATTATATGTTTCCTATAAGTTATGATTGGTTTTTTTGGAAATTTTTCCAAATCCGAATTAATTCAAAAGATAAGAATTACTGCTTTGAAAAGAAAAAATGCCATCACAACCTAAGTACTCCATTAACAAGATGAAGAAAAGAAATTTTAACCCCAAAAGCGACAACCACTTTTCTAGCGATCATTTTTTCTGTACTACTCAATATCACAGGGTAGCGAACTTCTTTACCATGAGAATCTCGCTCCACTTTGCCATCAAGTCCAGGAGCTTTTCGCGCCTCTGCATGTGCATAATATGGTCCAACCGCATATACCTTAATAGTTCTTTGTTAACAAATCAGAAAAACCGAAAAAAAAACAAATTTTTACATTGAATATGATGATTATGATAAAAATGCTCAAAAAAGAACTTTCGTGATTAATGATATAATGTAAAAATTTAAAACAAACTTAAATATACGACGAACTATCTATATACCTGCAAAATCCTAATCATCCCAATAAAAAAAATGATAACAAGAAATAAAAAAAAATGAAAATTCACTAATAAAGAAATTTGAAGATTAAACTTTTTTTTCACTAAACTTTCCACAATGAACTTTAAAAATTTTTAAAAAATGAACTATAAAAAAATTTTTGGACAGACCTTGACATCAGTTCCATCAGCAGGAATAAAATCTTCGTATATGTATGAACCCTCTGATCTAACTGTACTAACTGGAGAATACCAGCTACTGCGATTATTTATCTACAAAAACTTTGGATGAAACTCGAATACTATGAAGCTTATTGGAATGCAAAAGCTAGTTAATACTTATATCTGAATTTGAATAAAAACCTAGAAAATAAACAAAAAAAAAAATTATAATTGCAAAATATGATAATAGCAAAATAATTTGAAAATGTATATATTTGAAAATGTATATAAGAGATCAAACAAATAAACTGAAACTATCAAAAAATAGGAACCAAAAACCTTTCTGAACAGTCTCTGAGATCCACCTCCTACCGCGCTTGGGTAATAAATATAAACATTGTGATCTTCAGCTGAAAGTGGTTTTTCCACAAATGGTTTATTAAATATCATACCATTAACTTCAATATGATCAGTATGTTCGATTAGCACTCCTTCTGAAAAAAACAAAAATAAACAATAAACAGCAGAATAAATAAAAAAATTCTAAATCTATACAGCACCTTTAATTTCCATATCGCCACTTTCATTCTTCTCTCGCTCTGAAAAAAATATATTCAAGAAATAGTTCAGGAATAGTTCAAAAATCTCTGTTGAAGAGATGGAAATATAAAAAAAATTGTCTAGAAAAAACTGCAGTATATATGAAGCAATCTACTATCGAATAAAAAAAAAGATGAAATTCTTTCGTACATGGAAAAAATAAACTAACCACAATCGCTGCCCCGCAAAAGAACCCCATGTCTAGGATGTTCAATTCCAGCTCGAGCTAAAGCACGAAATACTTTCTTTCGATCCAACTAAAGAAAAGTTAAAAAAATTACTTGATAATGAAAAAGTTTTATAAAAATATAATTATCATCCAAATCACGACAGGAATACCGAATGGTGTAATGGATATAAGACATAAGATAAGACATCGCATTCCATTTATGAGTGAACCTATCACTAACTCTATAAGTAGAATTTGTATTCGAATTTGGATATGGATGAATGTAAAATGAAATGGAAAATTAAAGGGGTCATTTTATGTTAGTTTTTCACGAGGATTCAAACTGATCGTTCTATCATTTTATCATTTTATTTGGTGATATTCGATAGTTCAACAATAAATTCGATAATTATGTATACATTAAAAATATACAATTCGCGTAAAATTTTAATTTTAAAAGCACCAGAAAGAAATTTTAATAAAAATTTAAAAAAAATTAAAATTACCAAATCATATTGACGATGAAGATCATTAATAACATAAGGACGTCTAAGACGCACATATTCGATAGCTTTATCTAGAGGGAAATCTGTTGAATGAAAACTTATCAAACAATCACAAAAAGGCCATTCTTCTACGGCAACTTTTTTAATTAAATGTTCAGGAAATACAATAAATTCCAACCAATCCTATAAAAGAAATGCCATTAGAAGAATCGCCAAGATTTACTTACTCACTTTTTGAAATTTTCATATATCGTGTATTTCTACCTATTGGATAGATAACAATTAATAAAAGAATAAAAAATTTTTCATTTTTTTAACATAAGAAGATAGTGGAGAAGACTTCGAGCCTCAAATCTATTTGAGATTCAATAAATTATCCACTGAAAAAAAGAAGCCTTCAACTTTAATAAGAAGTTTATTTAAGTCAAACCCCGTAATATTCGACCATTTTGGCCATAATTTGCAGCATTGGTTTGCTGGTCGCCTTTCGTTCCATTGCACAAATACCTATTATTACCTTAAAAAAACAGAATATTCTTCTTAAAAAAATATGCGAAATTTTCTTTATAAATATTTCTGGAATTAAACTTTTTTGTTACGAAAATAAATTTACAAATCAAATCAATAAGTTAAAAATTTTATTTAAACAAATAAAAATTAAAATAAGAATTGACTTTTTTTTTTGACGATGACATTGTTTATAAAATAAACTGATGATTGATAAAAAAATAGACTTCAAAATCTATGCAATCGGAAAAAGCTGCAAATTAATAATTGACAAAAGAAAAAATGAAAAAATAATGAGTGCGCAACGTGACATTAAATAAATTCACTAATAAAAATATAAAAAATCAGCGAAGTGGAAAAAGAGGAATAAGAAATTATGAAGAAATATCATATTGGAAGTACGTTTGCCGACAGAAACAAAAACAAATTTTCAACAAATGTTCCCATTTTTCATTCAATACTTTCAACTTCTTCAGCGGAAAATTCAATCAGTTTTCTGAATACTACTTGTTTACAGACAATCGCCCAATAACTGATTTCTTGAAAGAGAAAAAAATGATTGATATGGTAATCTTCGACTGTGCGGACAACGATTGCAAGAGGACTGCTTGCTAAGATTAAACGGCCAGCCATAGTCGTTTCTCCTTCGAATTATTTTCACTGATCGATTATTTCTTTTAATAACTTTTGATAACTGAAGGCCATCTATATAAGCGAAACCAAGCTTTCAGAAGATAGAAAATTCATAGCTTTCATAAGGTTCTCCTATGGATTCTTGCGTTTTAGGTGATGTCCAGGGGAATTCGTAGCTTCTACCAGAATGCAAAAAAACCCATTAAGAACCCATATATGTTTTATTATAGGGAAAAGGATGATCAGAATAGAACTTTAAATTGATCTTTGACAGTCTTAAGGGCTATTCTTATCTTGGAATAACTTTCGATGATTACCTAATCGAATTATTTCCTTCATATTTGAAGCCATAGCAGGCCAACCAGTCATTCATAGGATGCCACACGATTAGAGCCGATCGTGCACTTTCTGACAATCGCGACTCCATCCTGAATTATTCGCAAATTATTCGCAACATCACTATGCTGCAGCCAGTAGTTCTCATCTGAATCAGATATAACAATATTATTATTTATTCCTCTGGACTAAGAATTAAGAAGGATTTCCGACAGGAAATTTGAACAATTGTGAAGCTTATAAAATATCTATTTTTATATAAATTCATATAAATTTATTGCCGGTAGAGGAAATGCCAGATTTTAAATACCTTGGATCCACTCTAATACCAAATGACCAAAGAAAAGACGAAATTACAATCCGGATGATAACGGTAGCTAGAAATACGTTCTTCCAATTGATGGAATCCTTATGGATTTTACCGCGATATCACCATAAAAGTGAAAATTTGTATTTATACAGTTTAAGTTCGGTTGAGCTTGCTATATATGGCTGCGAGACATGGCCGATGAGAGTGGAAGATTTTTTGATCATAGATAAAATCTCATATGATCGCACCCACTTTCGCTCAAATACCACTTTCATAAACGGTACCACCACAGAGTGTCGCTTTCACTGTTAAAAACGAAGGGGAACCAATCAAAACTTGGACTGATACAATCAGGAAAGATTCTGAAGATTCGTAGAGGAGGACCAACTATATATGAACTTAGATGGTGAAAAAAAAAATGGCTTCTATTATTGACGAAAATGGCACAAGATCGTGCAGCTTGGAAACGCCTTATCCTTATAACCCGCCTAACCAGCAATGGTGACAACTGTTAGAAGAAAAAAATATTGTGGACATTATTGTGGATATTTTCTCCTGACTCATTACATTCACAAGCGTTCTAATGTACCATGCAACTGTGGCCAAGAACCCTGCCCCAACCGGTCAATGCGATAATCTGAACTATTTACATGTCTATCCTGTCCCCATTTATATAAAAAAACCATTTAAAGTGCTGAACAATTTTGCAAATAATGTTATTTAGCCATATTTTAAAATTAAGACGTGCTGAGAAAGCACTTTAAATCCATCGATAATTTATTACCCATAATGAATGTGCCAATAAAATAGTTAGCTTCTCAAATGAGCCCTACCGATAAATTTCACTAATTTCAATACATAGCAGTTATAATCTAAACCAAGGTATATCATCATCCAAAATACCATAGGTAAATCTCTTTTCAACCTACTCTTAAAAAATAGCTTTGCAATCCCTCAATTAATTCGTTTTTATAAAATATTTTAAACCAATACTTTAAAATATTAGTCGAACTTTTTTAAATTTTTAAAATGAACTATTCATTAGAATTAAAAGTATGAACAAACTATGAACAAACAATTCAATTTTCTATTCCCATTATATTCTTCCTATAATAAGGGTAAAAAATTTTGATTTTCATACTTTAATAGAATTTCTTTAATAGAATTAATACTTCTTTAATACTTTAATAGAATTAATTTCAAACCTAGTAGGCATTTTTATTTTTAACCTAAATTTACCATATCTGGTTTGGCTCGTTCCGCAAAGAATTACAACTTTTCTTCGCTTGATAAGGTGGTAATTAAGAGAAAAAAGCCCTATGTCGGAAAAAGAATACGCGCTAGCGACCGTGAATAAAAATATTTATCAAAAAATACAATTTACGACAATGAATGGAAAAGGTTATTCAACAGATTTGAAGTAAAGGCGATTGTGGTTAAGGTGAGTAGTGATGAAAAAAAAAGAAGAGGTGAAGTAAGGCAAATGAGTGGTTAGTTAATCCAAAAAAATTAACCAAGCCGGTTGGGAGTTATATTTAGTCGATTATATCAAAACTTGTTAAATTTTATTCAAGAGCAAATTTTTTATAGTTTTTTTGATATGCTGGAAGAAGAAAAACAATTTTGTGTATTTGCATATTGTTGATGTAAAAATTTTAAAAATTTTGAAACTAAAAATTTGTTGTTTTTTCCTTTTTTTGAATTTTAAAAAGGATTTATGAATTCGTACCATATTATTATTATTTTATCACTTTCTATTTTATGTTTTACGTTCGGTCATTTCCGACATTCTCGATCGAAGGAGAAAAAGTATTAGATGGTGGAATATGGGGTTCATTTTGAATTTGGTTAATAGTAGTTATTTTTGTAAATTCATTTAACGGTTCCATTGGAATTGCTAAAAATTTTGTTCTCGTTGGAGCCTCATTGCTTGATAATCACATCATAGATCGAATTAGCTTAAATTTCACCTTAATAGCAATAAGTATTATTGAAAGTATTAAGAATACAATTATACTAACAAAAATTAATTTCCAATGTATAGCAAAGCTTGCCAATTTTTCCTCGATAAGTTCCGTTGCTTTGAATTTCCAACTGTTCGGCAAATTCTTCATCTTGTTAACTTCTCAGGATTCTATCTGGTTTCGGTTTGATGCTGGATGCAATTCTTCCTGTTTCTGAGCTAGTATTTCCAATGCCGCATTAATTCTTTCCAAGTTTACTTATTATTCCTTCTTTGAATTCGATAATGGTAGAATTAAATTTTTTTATTTTCATGGAATAATTAATAATTCTGATTTTGGCATCCTGTACAAATGTTTCCAGTGGATGGTATTTATTGCTGGTTACATATTTTCCGCTTTGAGTAGAGTAGTGTCAGCACGACCAAGATCGGATACCCTTTCCATCGTAGACTAGTAATTGTCCTTCAATGAATACAAAATTTATAGTAGATTGACATCTTACTCCCAATCATCCATAGGAGTATTGTACATAATTAAATATTGTACATAATTGTTATCCAAGTACCTAGTGCAATTTATATGATGACTCCATTGATTTCCTTATGTCTGTGTAAAAATTTACAAGTCTGCGATGATATGGCTGAAGTGGCTGTTTACTCCGAGACTACAGGTAAAGACAGGCTTTAGTATATACCACTCGCGTAATATTATGATATCGTATTGCTTAAATTCTCATATGAGATCTAGTATATACAGCTATCTTGACCAACGTGAGATTTTGAATTACTAAATGGCAAAGTACTAAAATGTTTGTTGCAATATTTCTTTACAATTTTATCTATTGGGAAGATTAAAGGGAACACCAGTTGTCGTTTTGAAGTTTTTGAAGTTTTTTTTGTAACATAACTGTTTGCTTGAACTTGTAGTAATATGGTCATTATTAATAATAAGCCTTAAATTGATAAACTTAATATGTTCACTTTGGACATCCTTTTTGTCGACGCTCGAGTACGCATTGCAACTGGTTCTTGTATTTCGAATTTCTTTCTCGTAGATTTAATTAGAATTGCCTATAATTGTTTCGCTTTCGTTAATTTCGAGGGGATAAAGTATACTTACCGAACGTTTTAGTACTTTGAAATTTAGTAATTCAATTGTAGCAATCCGCATTTTTCTTTATTCTGGATAGCTTTCACATACCTCGTGGTGTTCCAGGTTCAATGAGTATAACTAACTCGTGTTTAGTATATGATAGTATATTGTAAAAAGTTCGGTTATTATTTTGTTTTGGTAGATAAATTGGGTATTTACTGGTTTAATTCTGAGTTCTCCAATCGACTCATCGATTTCCATAGTTTTTCATATTCATCATAATAAAGATTCCATTTAGCTTTTTCATTGTCAATGATACCTTGAAACTGTGCTTGTCTGATTAGCATTGGTCGAGCTGTGTTTGCTTCTTTCATTGCTATATATAAGAGATCATCTGAGATCGAATTTAACCACTCGAATCTATTTTTATGCATTTGATGAATCTAAATACCGAAATGGTTACTTTGATTAATTTACCATTTACTGAATTGTCTATAAATGTAAATTGTTGATATATTTATTGAAATTCACATTGTGGCCACTCGCATTCCAGTTTCCAGAATTGATCTATATCTGGGATACGATGTACACTAAAAATAAATTTCGATTTATGGGTAATTTGATTAATTTCTTCGATGTCCACTCCCGCAAATCATGGGGCCCAATTTGGTTAAAAGTAGAGGAAATACTATTTGAATTGTTTGAATTGTTGAATTTTCTCTAGTTGTATAAATTTGAAGAACTATTCGGCTCCGATTAATATATTAATATATTTGGTTTTTTCCAGTATAAAGTTAAGCTTTCTAATGGGTGACTCCCAGTTAGATGGTATATTTGCTATCTGAAGTTCACTCGTTGAATAATGCACCACATTCACTTCACAAACTATTATCCTATTATCTCCTTTTCCTTATTTCTCCTTTCAATTAATGTATTCATTGTGGGAAGTGCCGTGTGATGTCTAGTTCCAAAGGTAGATATATTTAATATTCTGTTAATCCCGTTTCTTTAAGTTCTAAAACCAGTCCTCGGGATACAAAGCTTAATTGTAAACCAATACCAAATAGCACTTCTTCTTCATAACATTCTGGATTTTCTGGATTATAGAAAATAACTTCATACTGTTCCCGGAATCTGCTGAAGCCACTTTCTAGCTTAGCGGTTATAGTTCCAAATGCTCCAATTATCACTGGAATTACTTTGGTCTTTACGTTCCACATCTTCTCTAGTTCTTCTTCCAGCTCCTGATATTTCTCTAACTTTCCACTTTCTTTTCTTCTTCTTGACGTTCCTGTCGCTTAATATTGTTATATTTTCACCTGATTCTCGTCTCTATTTGAATAAACAAATCCCACAGGATCTTCGTCTTATTCCTGACTGCATTTTTCACATACTGTCAATAAGTATTGGACTGGGGTGGGATTTTTGCACGTCTAGAGTTTTGACTAGTGTGACGGGTCTTCGATAGATCTGAAGTGTTGCTATAATCAATGCCTCAGTTCCAGCTTATTCCAAATACTGGTAAAATTTCACAGTCAGCTATCTGTCTATGGTGCAATCCATTCATGGAGAGATATCTTGCTTTGCTATGGTATTTCTTCTGCTTGGTCGTTTTTCAACTTCTATACATGCTTCAGACGTTCAGCAGCTCATCCTTTGGTGCCATATTTCTAAATCCTTCGAGATAGTGGTTTTCATACTCATCAAGCCCCATCCCCTTTCTTTCCAGCTGTACAGTCTTTTGGTATTGGACTTGGGTGGGAACTTCTGTGCATTATGAGGAGTTTCTTGGTCTTTACATCAATAGCCCCTCCATTATCAACTGTGTCAAAAAACTGGAAATTTTCCAGTTATAAAAAATCTTCACTGTTATTGAAAAAAGGAATAATTTTATATAGGAATAATTTTTACTTTACTTTCGGCGAACAATTACAAAGAAGAATTATAATAAATTATAAGAGACAAATTATAAAATAAATTTTTCAACTGTCAACTATTTGATTAAAAAATTTTAAAACCACCCGCGTAAAGATATTCCACTGTTAATACCAACAACACAAATCAAAGAGAATAAAGTACCATCGAAGCAGACTTAAATCACTCCAAATTTAACTTGCGCAAGACTCCACCCCGAAAAAATAATAGTAATATGTTGACTCAAATAACTCAACAAATAATTTATTCACCTCAACTTCGGTGCGTGGTCTTGAAACGATTGTCCTCAATTGGAACAGTGCCAATTTTTCATCATTGATCGTTATCGTCTTGTTTTTGAGCTTTGCTGTTTGGATTAATGGTTGTTAACATTTTTGCTGGGGTTGTTTTATCATTATTGTATCCATTATTGTAATATAAATTTGATATATATTTCCTTTTTTCATTTTATAACGGCAGGAAATGTTGTTTGATAACATTTGTAATAATTACTTCCCATAAACTCTAAAAATGAAAATTAGTGAAAGTGAAAGTAAAATTCCCCTCAGAATAGCGCCGACCTCTGCGGGCATTCATCGTCTCCAATTATCAGCGAACAGGGTCACCGCAGCGAAGAACGGAACCGAGTCATTCCGTCTGGTTCAGCTGGATTCCAAGCACTTTGCTTCCTATAGCAAATCGTTCAACCTTCGTTTCATACTGTAAAAGGGTTGGCGCTGTGTGGGTATCATTTCTGAAAATTTGAATCTCTTCGTAGCTTGCTGTCCCTCTTCCTCGATCATTTTTCAATCAATCATAATGTCCTCGTAACTTGTTCTATCCCTTTAACGTAGAGTTGTTAATACTGCCACCTTATTGATTATGCTTAGGGCCTTTAGATTCAATCCTGGATCGCAGGTCTATATTGGTGTTTTGTATTGAAAATTTCTAGCGCTAATTTAAATATAGTGAAACTTAATGCGGACTTCGAGAAAATATGCAGATTTTTTAACGATTGAATGGTAATATGTTGTCAGTGCCTTTTAATATTTTGTACAAAAAGGTTATTTCTTTTTGTTTTAATTCCCAGTCTCTAAAAAATTCTAGCAGTCACTAGTTTAAATTTTTTTAAAAATTATTTCATATAAAGAAAATGTCATAGATTTTTGCAAAGCGGCATAAGTTATTGGTGATATACGGATCACTAGAAACTTTTAAGGTATAAATGTGAAAAAAAATATAGAAAAAAAGCGAAAAGAGCATGATTTCTTGCTAACAATGTCCAAGTAATTGAAAAGTTTTTTTTTTATAGAGAGAACTCAGGACTCGGCCAGTAGAATTGAAGCCTCATCATAGTCTTCTTGACTGGATGAAGTTAAATACTAGGCCTTTAGTTGTTCCATCGAAAGATCCGATTGATGAAGTCGAATTGACAAAACATTCTACTAAAGATGATTGTTGGATACTTCTCACTAATAAGGTTACATTTATTAGAAAAAATATAAAAAGCAATGTAATAGAATGAAATTTTTTGGTTATCAAAGAGTGCTTTGGAATTTTGAAGTTTTTTTGCATTTATTTAAGCCAGTTAATGATCAATAAATTTTTTTACTCCACTCCTTTAATTTTTGATTAAATTTGTTTTAAATCTTTATTTTTTTTCATCTTTTTGACCTTTAATATTTACATGTAATGGCTTTTTAAGAAATTAAAATTTAGGTTTATGATATCACAAAGTATTTACCTTACCATCCTGGTGGAATCGCGCAATTATTGCGTGTTGCTGGTCGTGACGGAACTCATTTATTTCACGAAAAGCACTCTTGGATTAATTTCGAAACTATGCTGAAGTCATGTTATGTTGGCATTTTTTCTGGTCAAAGAAGTAAATGTGAATTATTTCCTGGTTTATTTTAGCTTATTTTATAATGATTCATTTTCTAACTGTACATCTTTAGTACCGCTGCCAGGAGAACTATCGGTTTCTACCAGTTCTGTCGATATAATTGAAGGACGGAATGATATGAGAGAATCGGAGTTAATATCGAATATCGATATTAGCGAGATTAAGTGAGCGGATTAAATTCTTCTTTGCATTTTCCTTTTCTCATGAAGCATTGGAAATAAAGAAAAAAGTTTGGCGAAAAAATTCAATCTTTTTTAAAGTGTAGGAAAAAAGACGCTATCATTCCTTATGATTTGGGTTATTCATTTTTTATTTCGAATTATTGAACGAAAATTTTTATTTAAAGTATTAAAGTATTAAAATCATTCTTATCACTGCTATCAATGGAATTGATATAACCAAATTTAGTTTGTAGGATTTCACAGTTACCAGACAACTCACTTTCATTTTTCTCCGAACAGTGGATAAATTGGTTAAAAGATGAGAATATTGTTGTAAGAGTGTGTGATCGTGTGTTGCAAATTCTTATTCGTCCTTTGAACGGACCACCTTGTTCGATAAAGTATGGTATGTTTTAAATAAAATATTTATATATAATTATTTTAAAACATTGGTTCATTCTTTATTTTTGTCGTTTTTATCCAGATTTTTCGATGAATATGAATGTATTTAATGCTAATGATAAATTTAAATTTTTAGAAATCTGTGGATCTAGCGTGGAGTTTGATTCATTCGATGTATTGGTGTCTAATGGCGATATTAACATTCATTTCAATTCCAAAGTTGATTTTAGCCATTTAAAGATGTGTGACATTCATCTATCTTCAGATGAGAAAGGTTTTTTCATTTTTCATTGATCATATTTTCGATTAATATCAAATGAGTTCGGTTTCTGCTTCTCGAGAGTTTGCTATTAAAAGTAGAATCCAGATTATGCTTTGATTCATTTATGCACTTCATTTTTTCATCATTTTTTTTCATTGAATTTTCATATTTTATTTTTTCAAAATTTACTTAAACAAGAGTATATCGGAAAGTTTATCAGTTATATTATTTTTAAAAAGAATTATTTTTCATTTTTTGGTGCACAAATATATCTACAATTATAGTTCTTGGCAGCGCTTAATTTTTTTTTCAAGTTTTAATTTCAATCTTATATTAATTTTTAGAGAATCTTTTTGATACGGTTGAAATTGTCGAATTGAACCAACTAACGACTAGCATATTTTTATTTGCAATTGATTTGCCTTCTACTTTGCACTATTGTATTCCTCTCGGACATCATGTTCAATTGATGTTTGTTGATGGTTATTTATTTATTTTAGTAATTTTTTTTTGCTTCCATAAATCTTTGTTTTTCTTGTAATATACTTTGTTCCGATAATTATTTTTTTAGGTTCTTGTATTCGACCTTACACTCCAGTCAAAATTTCAGAAAACTGTAAAACGTTATTTTTCATCATAAAAATTTACCCAGATGGAATGTTTACAAGCAAATTGAAGACATTAAAGAAAGGTGATTATTTCTAGAACTTCTTTTTTTTTATAATCTTTTTTCGAGTGATGATTTATTTTATATAAATGGTTGTTTTCTTTATGCGCTAAAATGCCGAAATTATAACACTATAGTGTTAAAGGTGAATTGATCAAAATTAGTGGCCCACTTTCTTGTTATAATGTGCGGAAATTTCTGGAATTTTGTGATTATATTTTGATGCTTGCTGCTGGCACAGGCATTACGCCAATGCTTCGTATTGTTGCCAATTGTCTAAGATCTAATATGTTAGTTTGACAGAGATTATTCGTAAATTTGCCATTTTTGGCTCTGAATATATCTGAATATCAAGGTTTTATTGTTTTTGTGAAATTAATTTATTTCGAAATCGCCTTGTTTTTTTCAGCGGTGTCACTCTAATCACATTCAATAGTTTAAAATGTAACATTCTGCCTGATTTTATATTTTCATTTTGCGATATAGATATTTTTAATGCTCGGTTTCAAATTATCAATTATTTGGATTCAGCAGAATGCAGCTGGGATGGTAAAGTGGGTCAGTTGTTGTTTAATTTTAATATTTTGATTGATCTGATATCTGACATTTGAGGTTTTTAAAAATTTATTTGTAAAAAAATGAAAATTTTTGGTTGAAAATGTGTCAGGCATAATTCGAAAATTCGAAAATAAAAACTTTTCTTTAACACAATAATATAAATATAATAAACATAATAATAAAAATATATTTACGAACAACTTGTATTTTTATCTAAAAAATTTTTTTTTTAAAATTTTTTCTGGAATTGTTTTCGAATAATATTAAAATTGAGTTGTTTCAAAGCGATTTATTACAGAAGCATATAAAGGAAATCGTTGAATAATTTTCGACATCCGACGATTTCTAGCAAGCTTTAAATTTTCCTTGTTTCAGGCAGAATATCAAGTGATGTATTAAATGAACATAGGGAATTATTTACTAGAGAAAAATTAGGCATTTTTATTTGTGGTCCCAGTGCCTTCATTGCAAGATCAGTTGATTTACTGTTAGTTCATTATTCATCCATTGTTAATAATTTTGAAAATCACTTTGTTATTTGAATTCTGAAAAAAATTTTTATAAATCGATATTATCGTGATGCTGGTGAAGGCAAGTGGTTAGCGGTCATCATTTTTTATTTGGATGGCTCCATTAGGCCATTAGCATGGTTAGAAATTTTTAGGGTACTATTAGTATGTTTTCAAAAAAATTTTTGCTAGGCGGTCGTTTTAAAAAAAATATTCTCGATTTATTTTTGTGAATTTATTTTTCATTTCTGATCACAATTCAGCCAAATAAACTTAAACTTAAACTTTTAATCTTTTTTTACCAAACAACGATTTAAATAAAATGAATTAAAATTAAATCATTTAAATTAAATAAATTATAAGTCAAATCAGTTAAATTGTATAAATAATATATTGTATAAATAATAATAATAATATAAATAATAATATGTATATAAATATTTATATAAATATAAATATAAATATATACATATATATATATATATTTTAAATCTAATTGCCTTTTTATTTTTTTTAAATTTCATTTTCTATTTTATTATTTTTTTCAAATTTAATTTTTTGTCTTTGGCAGAAGTAAATCTGCCATTATGTCAAAAATCAGGGTGGTTGGTGGGGACCCATGTTTGTATCTATCCCCAAGTGACTTTGTGGTGAAGGGATCAAATGTTTTTGATACGGCGTGGGCATCTCTCGAACGCATGATACTCCTAGCCCGATGGTACATGCGACAAATGCACAATCCGGGCTTAAAGCAATCCCAAGGCTGATAAATAAAATGTGCTTGCAAGCCAGGATAATTGCTCGAAAACTCAAGGGGAACAGCTTTCTGCACGCGTGGTGAGGTTTTAGCCGTATTAGCGTCAGAATGCTTATGAACGTTGCAAGCCAAGCGATCACTGTCCACACTCTTTTCAAATATCGTGCTTCCTTGTCGGAGGTCCGTCTTCCTTATTTCGGGTCTCGAGTGATTATTAATCCTGTCTTGAGCAGAGGTACTGGCTATATCACTGTTTCGGATAAGTCGGAGAGAAATGGCGTAGCGATTGTCTGAAAGCCCATTCCACTTTGATTGTGTGGAAACCGGTAAGCGACCGTATGACCTATGCCCGTTTTAAGTTTTGCAATATTTCGGTCATCAGTATCTATGCTCCAACTCTGTCGGCAGATGGCCTTGATAAAGATAAGATATATGCGGAACTTCAACTGCTAGGAAAGTCTCTACCAAATTATGACAGGATTATACTCGCAGGAGACTGGAATCCCCGCGTAGATCATAATGCCGCTGCGATGACCTCAACAATTGGCAAATATTGCATCGGAGACCGGTGTGCCAATGGGAAACATCTTTTTCGTTATGCCGAAGAGCATTAACTTTTTATTACTAATACTTACGACATCGTAGAAAATATCTAATATTGTGGAACTCCCCGGATAACCAACACTTCAACCAGATTGATTATATCTTAGTCACCGTTGGAAGAGTTCCGTACTAGATAGTCGTTCCTACCGCGGCGCTGAAAGGGGTAATCTTCATGGATCTGACTATGTTATGGTTCGAGTCAAGATCCGCATAAAAGTGACAACTCGCAGAAAACAGCACCCCCAAAAATCCTTAAACTATCTCAAATTAAAAAATTGTGCAGTGAGCGCATTTCAAACTGAATTATTGAAGCATCTCAGTGATACAAATATCAATGATTTTGCTGGAACGGCAAATGAATACTGGTTCAAATTAAAGGAATGTCTTTAAAAGTCAGCCACTTCCACGCTAGGGCATATTAATAGGAGATGTGATAGTTGGGTATCGAAAGCAACATTTTAACTATATGAAAAAGCTGCCAAAGCACGAATGTCAGGTGATCCTGACCATCGAATGCTTGCAACGAAATCAGCAAGGCTGGACAGGAATCACTATTGGAGTGACATGGCCTTGAGAATAGAGTCGGCGGCTCGATTAGACGATAATAAGAACTATTCTGCCTTTTTCATAAAGTAACTATGACTCGGGGAACGATCAGTGAAATGGTAAGAGACATCAATGGCGTACTAATCAAAAGTATTAAGGATCGCCTCATAAGATGGAAAGAATTCTTTGAGGTCAAACTTAACCATGAAGCGCCATCTATTGCTCCTGATATAACTGATACGTTCGCTGGACCTTATGCAACTGTGAGCCCCCGACAAAAGAAGATGAAATAATATCTGTTATCCATAAGCTTAAGGCCAATAAGACTCCGGTAGAAGATGGTCTTCGGGTTGAATTCTTTAAATGTTGTCTATCATCCTTCATAACACCTTCAGCAAATGTACTCTTTGGTATGGGAAAAAAAATTATTGCCAGATGATTGGAGCAAAGTAATTCTGCTCCCCATTCTCAAGAAAAGTGATAGGACATACTGAGATAATTATCAGCCAACTAGACGTTTTAGGAAAATTTTTGCTTCTTTTTTACGCAACAGACTTATGGAAGTTTGAGTTAGCAGGATGCACCCTAATCAAGCTGGATTCAGGTCGGGTCGCGGTTGTATCGACTAGATATTCACGTTAAGAAGGGTATTGGAAAGTCGCTTCAGATATTTGCAACCTATTGTTATGTCATGTGTTTAATCGACTTTGCGGCTGCCTTGATTGATTTAATTGATAGAAAGGCCCTTTAGAGGATGATGGAATGCGACGGTGTTCCAGAGAAGATCATTCGACTCATGAAGGCATTTTATGAGCGTACGTCGGCGCAGGACTGTGTATATGGGGAGCTGACAGATTCCTTCAAAATAAGAACAGGTGTCCGTCAGGGTGCTGCGTTCTTTCCTCCACAATATTCAACTATTCAAGACTGGATAATGGACACCGCTTGTCAGCAATCAAGGGTTGTCCAAATCAGTCCAGAGCATCATATCACAGACCTTGAATACGCTGATGATGTAGTAGTCCTTTTTGCTGACATGTTATGATGAAATACAAATAATTCAAAATAACGTGTCAGCAACTGTAGCGAGAATCAGACTCAAAGTCAATGTAAATGAAACGAAAGTCTTTTTGTTTTACATACAAGAAATTGAAATTAATAAAATGTCAAGAAATTAATAAAATGTCTCTTTTTATGAACTTATTGCTGGTTGAGGAATTGACCGATTTTAAATACCTTGGGTCCACTCTAATACCAAATGGACAGGCAAAAGATTACAACTCGGATCACAGCAGCTAGAAATGCGTTCTTCCGGTTGACGAAATCTTTGTAGCCATCACAAAACCACCATAAAAACGAAAGGCCGCGTCTATATAGCTGCGATTTCTTCTATCTTGCTATATGGCTGCGAGATATGACCAGTAAAAGTGGAGGGGTATTAAAAAGTTATTTGCCTTTGACCACTCATTTTAAGGTACATTTTATGGGTTCGCCGAGTGTATAAAATTTTACATCATTTGCAAATACTTTGTTCGAATACCACTTGCATCAACAGTCCCATAATAGAGCGCTGCCTTCGCTGGTTAGCATCGTATCAACCTTGAATACACTGATGATGTTGTCCTTTTTGCTGAAAATTATGAAATGCAGTTAATACTAAATAACGTATCAGAAACTGCAGCAAGAATAGGACTCAGAGTATACAGAACGAAAATCGTCTTTTATGTACAAGAAGCTGATAAAATGCCTCTTTTTGTAAATAATTCATTGCCGATCGAAGAACTGCCCGATTTTAAATACCTTGGCTCCACTCTAATACCAAATGGCCAGCGATATTATAACCCGGATCACGGCAGCTAGAAATAGGTTGTTCCCATTGACGAAACCTTTATGGAGCCGTCTTGAAATTACCACTGAAACAAAGGTCGGCATCTGTATAGCCATGATTTGTTCAATCTTGTTATATAGTTCTGAGACATGGCCAATGAGAGTGGAGGATATTAGGAAGATATTTATTTGTTCTTATCGGTGGTTGAAATAGAATCCTTATATCTAAGTACGATAATCTGATCCGCTCTCCACTCGGCTGTTTTCATTTTTTGATGAAGTTTGTGTTTTTCCTGCTTTTTTCGATTTTTTTCAATTTCGCTGGATTTTTTAATATTAAGTATATAAAAAATATTTTAATATAAATTCATTTGTTGTTATTACAGGTCTGGAAGTAATTGCAAGATTGACAGAAGCAGAATATTTACATTTTTAGATTGATTTTTGAGAAATTTGTTTTTTGCTTTTTTTAAATTTCTTGCATTATTTAAAACATTTTTAATGGTCATTTCTTTTTTAATCATCTCTCAAAAATTAGTCATTTTTTTGTTAATCCCTTTTTCCTCTTCCTCTGCTTTATCGATACAAAAATTACAATCTTTTAATTCTAAATTTTCATAAATTATCAAATTTGTCGCAATATTTTTGGTCTAAATTCTAAATTTTTAGAAGAATTTTTCAATAACTTTTTACCTTAAAGTTTTTTCGTTGAAGAGACAGAAATCATGAAAAGTTGTATATTTGAAATGTCTTTTTTCATTGTTTCTAAATGGCTGTTGTCTCATTTACTAGTGTAAACCTAAGCCTTTACATTTTGCATTTTGCAATATATATGTATATGTAAATTAAGCAGGCTTTACTGATTTTAACTCAAGTTGAAATCCAAAGTGTTTGCAGTTTTTTTGCTAATGATTCGAAGTAACTGTATATTTTTATTTATAATTAATTATTTGAAATAATTTAACAAATTCTTGTGAATTTAACAAATTCTTGTGAACAATTCTAATATGCATTGTAGGTTGCTAAAATTGTTTTCTTTTCATACATAGCTTGTTATTTATTGTTATATTATTATTGCTTCCGTCGTAAAAAAGTTGGAAAATGCTGATGAGATCCCACGTTTTCGGAAATTTAGGTAACAATTCTGGTGTACGAATCATTGCAGAGATGTAGTTCTAGGTTTTATTCGGTCTATTCCATCATTTTTTTAGCTCTTTTAATTTTTTGCCATAAATAAATAAATGTAGTTTGTTGTACAATTGCAATATTTCACCTCAGCAGTCAGTTTTTCTGGCTTGACTGGCTTCTGTTAAAGGACAGTAATCAAATCTTTCATGCTTGATTTCAATCGAAATGATTTCAATATTCCACATATTCTCAGGATATTCTCATCCACTCAAGGTCTGTATAATCGAAAAGCGCGAAAAAAATGCCTTTGATATATTTCTAATTTAAAGCCTTATGGGTAATTCGTTGAAAAAACACATGAACATTTCTCAAATTGAGAGTGAAATCAGGGAGCATCCAGTCGTAATCTATACGAAGTCAATGTGTGCTTATTGTAAGAGGGCAAAAGATCTTCTTACTGCTGTAAATGTTGCGTATGAAGAGAAAAATTTGGATTCTATGCAGGTTTTTTTCCTTTTTGTCAAATCATTTTCAAAATTTCTCAGTTCGAATTTAATTTAATTCAATCATTTAGCAGTTGCATTTTCTAGTAACACTGCAACAAACATCGAACTATTGCGGTTGTCATAGGTTCATTCCCATTGGTGGAGGTGGAGGTATGTTTGAGTGGTGCTGCACACCTACCTACTTTCCCATCTCCAAATGATTTTCTGTCGAAATGGCCTTATCCTAATAGTTAATAAATCTAGCCGAACCAAAAAGATTGTTCGAAGAAGCCCTTGGAACTCTTTTATAATCACTGGGAGATTGCGCAGTACGTAACAGAACCGCATTATGATAAATATGAATCACCGATGTTATGGGATGCTTAATAAAACTATAAATTAAGTAACATAAATTACATATTTGGTGACGAGCCAGAGTTTGGTCCGTAGCATTACTCAGGTTGTTTGGTTTTCAATATATTCCGTTCAGTAGGAATCGGAATCTGTGGCCTAACCTTTTTCTTCTTTTTCTCTAAGAGTTTTCACCATTACTGGTTAAACTCGCTGCGCTGACTTGTCGCATTGGGCAAATATTCCAGAGAGTCTCTTGACAATAGAAATACAGGTGAGTTGCCAGCATCACTCGGATTTTTGGACAGGTTTACTTCTGCGGAGATTAGAACCTTAGTATCGGCGCTCCAAATTGAACAAGAACACTAAACCAGTTGAGCACTAAACCATCCTATCCCCAATCCTGTGGTCTAACCTTGGTCTAAACGATATTACCGATTCACCATCCTGCTTATGCATTATTTATCGAAGTTTGGTCTAATGAATGAGAATAATTTTGAAATTTTTAAATAAAACTTTTCTTTTTGATTAATTTTTTTTGATTTTAGGCAGATTCACCTGATATTTATCAGTCATATGTGAATGGATTAGTTTATTTAACACGTCAGACGAGTGTACCACAGATTTTTATTTGCGGCAAATTCATTGGCGGTTTTAGCGACTTGGAACAATTGAAAAAAGCTGACAAACTTTTTGAATTAATCAATGAGTGTTCCACGATGAAACTCGATGCTTAATTCTTCAAAAGAAAATAGATTTTGATTTTATATTTTCTAATAAAATATTTGATTTTCTGATTGGTTTTATTGATTTAATTAGAATAAAAATGTTCTTCGTCTTTAATTTTATTTCTTTGCTTTAGGCGTTTTAATACGTATTTTCAAAGTGTTAATTCATTTCTTTTTGAACTTCTTAATTTTTCTTTTTAAGTGAAGTGAATTATTTAAAACGGAAAATGCATGTAATTTATTTATTTTTAATTAAAATTATTATTTTCTATTTATTATTATTAAAATTGTTATTTAAAATTATTGTTTAAATAATTATTTTTAATATATCGTTTGATGTAAATTGTTTCACAATTATTTAAAATTATTTATTTAAAAATTTCTTTGAAGGTTTGCATTTTAAAATTTTAAATTCCGATAAATTTCAGTTTTTAAATTATTTCGTTTATTAATTATTTATTTGCTTTTCAGATTAAAAACCAGTTGATTCACATTTTCTTTTAGATCAATTAGGCGACGATTTGTGGCGATCTCGTCAAAAGCCTTTAACACTTGTATCATCCAATTCCGAGTTGTAGGTCTGTCGTTTTTATAAATTTATAGATTTAATTGGACCAGCATCTTGGCAATTATCCTCGAATTGCGCCACTATGAAATATTGCTAAATTATTATCGAGTTAATTTTATCGTGTATTTGTGTGCTTTATCATTTAATTTACATGCAAATATTTTGGTTGCACATTAATAATTTTTTAGGATTTGAATTGGTTGAATTTTTGAAATCAAACGAATTGAGCAGTAAGGGTAATGGATCGGAATGAAGCAACAACTTCATTAGAACGAGAAGGCCAAAGGATGCCTGAAGTATTAGAAGTATCGCAAGATGCACGAGGAGCAGTAGAAGTAACACAGTTATTTAGAACATCAAGAATAATTAAAATTGCAGAAGCATCGAGTCCGGTATCAACATCGATATCATCAACATCAAAATTATTAGAAGCACTTCAAGTATTTGAGGCACCATGAAACCGAAACTGAAACATCCGCTAATTTATCTCAATTTCAGTCGACTTCGGCAAATTCATACCATACAGAAAATCCATTGATCATAGATATTTCCTCCGACTCGCAAGAAGATGTCACACAACATGCAAATATTGTCTTTCATCCATTTTCATCGAATATATTCGGTGAGATTAGCCAGAAGCATCTTCGTTTGCTTAATATTATCGATGAGTTAGTAATTTTTTTATGTTCACTCTTTTTGTTCTGTTATTTATTTTTAACTTCGACTTTAGCGATTATTTTATTTTTCATTAAATGAAATTTTCAAAGTGGAAGTTATGGTCGAGTTTATCGCGCAGTTTACGGTGATAAGTATTGCGCAGTAAAGCATTTCGTCAAAAGTCGATCAGAAAAAGGATTCGATGCGAAATTGAAGGATCTTCAAAAGGAAGTGAGTTTATTTATTACAACATTTTCCCATTTTTGATAAATTAGGAAATATCCATTTCCCAGTTTAATTATGCTTTCGAAATAAATAATAATTTTTTCTTTTTTAAGTCCAGTTTGTTAGTTGATTTTTTTCTTAAAATTCTAATTTTTTATCGGCAATTAGATTTTTTATTCCCGATTTATTTTATATTTTTCTGTTCCATAATGTTTTATTTTTCTGTTCTTTCGAAATATATTTTTCTTTTTTGGTTTCCTTTATGCGTATTTTCATGTTTAGCTATTAATTTTGAAAAAACTTTCGCATCCGAATATCATAAAGGTCCATGGATTTTCCAGCCGTCACCATCTCATAATTATGGAGCTAATGGAATGTGGTAATCTCGAAGAAGGTTGAAAAATCTGTTTGTTTGCATTAAATCTTAAGTAAATAAATGAGTTTTGATCAAATATGAAAAGTAACTGAATATTTCTCATAAATTTTGCGAGGAATTTAATGGGAAATAGGTATTTAACAATGATAGAAGTAAATAACTGATCTTATTTTATCTAATATCTTATATTATCTAATATTTTATTTTTAATCTTATTTAGTATTAAGAAAATATTCGTTTCTATTCATCCATTTAAGTGTCCATTTTCACTCTATGAATTTTATTTTTCTTCTCAAAAATATTCTCAAAAATACTGTAAATATGCCAAAAAAAATTTTATCAGTGATTTTAAAAAACTATAAATTTTTTTCAGCGATTCACGGAAAAATTATAGAATATGGTGAATATGATATTATAAGATGGTCGTTTCATTGTATTTCTGCCCTATTTTATTTGCATGAGCAACATATAGTTCATGCCGATTTAAAACCTAAGAAGTAATAATAATAATGTTAATAATAATACTCGGTTTTTCAAAAAAGAGAAAACATAATTAAAGCTATTCAAAATTATAACCTTTAATTTCTTCATTTTCAAACATAGTTTTAAGGAATATTGTGGTTATAAGATGGTATTTTTATAATTAATTTCTTAACTGGATTAAACTGAATAAAATTTAGTTCCTGTTTAATTTAGTTTTATATTTGATTATTATATATATATATATATATTTGTATAAATATATATATAAATATCAAATATATATACATAATACATATTTGAATACAGTAAACACTTTATTTTCCGCATATTTTTCAATAATTTCGCATTTTCAGCTTGTTATTGTCACAAAATTATGAAATACTAAAAATATGCGATTTTGGATCCGCAGGTAAAATGCATCAACAACGACAGAGTACTCTCGGAACAGTTCCTTATATTGCTCCGGAGGTTTATTATTTTCGCTTTTTTTAAACTATAGAAATCCATTTCATTATATTTGCGACATTTTTGGATTTGCTATGCCGCGAGTTTGCTTGCATTTGAGAAATTTTCTTCTTCGTATTCAGGTTCATTGTTTATGATCCTTGTAATTCTTAAATTTTTGTGTGGAGTGGAGAGGGAGGGGGTATTTTCAACTAAAAAAATAAAATAAAGCAAGGACGAATCGAAGTATATTCAGGTATTGGAAGCAACATATTCACTTAGGCCTTCTTGTGATATCTTTAGCTTCGGAATGATATTATTTGAAATGATTGCTCAGGAGAAACCTTTTGCTAAAATGGAAAATGCTAATGAAATTTTATGGAGGGTTGTAATTCTTTTTTTAATTTGATTATTTTTATTCTTTTTAATTTTAAAATTAGCAGAGGGTTGTAATTCTTTTTTTTAATTTGATTATTTTTATTCTTTTTAATTCTAAAATTAGTAGAGGTGAGTCTGAAATTAAGAGAGTTGAAGTCATGGGAAGTTTATTGTCATATCATTTATCATTTATTTCGAGAAAGATTTTGGTTAATCATATAATAATTTCTAAATTTTCCCTGAGATTTCTGTTTTCACATAATTGATTTTTATAAAAAATTTTAATTGTTAATTCTTCACTCTTTCCAGATAGCAGGTGGTGAACGTCCTTCAACAAAAATTCTGGAAAAAAAAGCTTCGCATCACATTTTAGATTTGTTAAACAAGTTTTTATTCATTTATATCTATAAATAGTGTTAAAAAATTGACAAGAAAAAATCGGGAATCATTGTTTCCTTTATACGAATTTCTTGTCTATTATGGTTAATTAATTAATTTGTGACTATCACAGTGAATTTCAGTTTAGCAAATAATTCGGTATTTTTTAATTTTTTCAATCGTTTAAATTTTATTCGATTGTTCAATTTTCCAGATGTTGGATTCATAGAGCAAAGCATCGTGTCAAGACGTCAGACGCTTATAAAGCCATAAAAAATCATTTTTTGGTTTGTTCAGACCATATTTTTAAACTGTATTGTTCGACATTATAGTCTTTTTTCATTTTGATATGGGGTGAGATGAAAAAATTTTCACTCCTTTAGTATTTTGAATGAAAATTATTAGTGAAATGAAAAAGAAAATAATTTTTTTCTATGACAGATTCAATAGGGATTCGTCGCTATTCATATTTTTTGACTGGAGCAAACGTCATTTAATAAAAGCGGATTACATTAACTTCTAATTCTATATTCCTAAATGGTTCTCTTTGGATAAGAGATCGTTTAAACGTTTTATTAATAAGTGGAATAGTTCTAAGTGGAATTTATTTGAATTAGAAAAAGAAATAAGTCCAGTTCAATATAGAGAACAGCATTAGACTATGTTCATTGCGCGAAATTTTTCTATATATATTTTTACTTTATTATCTATATATTTGTATGTTCAAATCAAAGATTTTTAGGATAATACTGAAAGTAATACTCAAATACGATTATTGCAACAACCCAAAAGTCTTTCGAAAAGTATTGTTGATAATGATAATGATTTGTTCTTTCAATCCATTTTTAAGTGTCAGTTTTTTGTTTTTTTAAATATTAACGATTCATTTTTATTTAAGGAGTGCCAAAAAATTAGCAGCAGATCTTTGAAGTTATCAACTTTATCAGTTTCCACTTTAAGATTTAAGTATTCTACCATACAACTGAAAAGTGAAGGTTTTATTAAGGAGAGATCGAGGCTTATATAAATGGAAATCAATTTCATTATTTCTAATTAAGATCGAAGTAAATGATCAATTTGCGAGGATCTGGCTGGATTTTAAAAAATTGCTACCTTAAGTATTATTGAGCTGAATAATGCGCTAAATATTCTGGGATGTATTTGAAATAATACAAAGGAAAATGGTTTATTGATAACTATTTGAAAGAGAAAAAAGACTGTAGCTCTATTGTCTTCAAGATTTATTTATGATTTAATCAAGATATAAAAAATCTAAAATAAATGTGGCTATTCGTTTTTACTATCTTTCGTTTTCTACTATTTCATATGGTTATTGAATTGGTATTTCTCTTTTTTACCAACTTTTTTGACTATTTCAGCAGTCTATTTTTTTGTCGCAAAAATTTATAAAAAAAATTTAGTTCTATCATATCTAATAAGATGGTATGGAAATTTTGTGGTCGAATTATCTCGAATTTAAATCGAGTTTTTAAGCTGTGAATTTGCAGTTTTAATTATCTTTTAGTTTTGAAAAGTAGAAAATTAGGAAATTTAAGGCCAAACTAGAAAAAGCAAGGTTTCTGGTTTATTTATTTTGTGTGGTATATATCGAAACGATTCGAATTTATTAACTAACTGTAGCTAGCAGAAAAGTGGTATATTACATTGATTACATTGACAGGTTGAGATTAAATCACTGGAAGAAATCACTGGAAGAACAAATGGAATGCGTTAATGGCGATCTTAGGCGTCACTTAATCATAAAATTTGTTTTGCAGCGTATAATAAATGGATGTCACTTAAATGATTTCTTGAATTTTTAAGATTTGTTTGGATGCATCAGTTATTTCAATTTCTTAAACCATTTATTTTATTTTTGTTTTTAATATAGTTTTTTTCAGGCACATCTTAATGAAATTTATTGCGTTAAAAATTATTCTCGCAAAACAAATAGAACTTAGGGTAACATTTTTGATGTTATCAATAAAATATTTTGTTTTCCACAGAATTTAATTTTTATACGATTTTTTTAGTTCTGGTTTCCTAATTGAATAAAATGGACTTTACTAACTGGCATACCAAGGGCATGAATCAGAAATTGCCGATGATATAGTAATACCAAGTGACAGGAACAACAGTAAGAAAAAATATAAGAAATACCAGGCACTGAAGGAGAAATGGTGGGTAAAGTTAAGACTAAAATAGGTCGCAGTGATGGTAGGAGCGTTAAGAGCTGCGATGATGAGCTGGAAAAGTGATTACAATATGGAAAATACGAGTACTCCTAGGAAGCACTCCTAGGAATAGCGAAACTACTGCGCAGAACATCTTTTCTTAGGTCTTTTAGAACCGGAGATTGAGGATGATTTTTTATTCATTTATTTTTCTAAAATAACTAGGTGTAATTTACCTGAAGTATTACAGGATTACAGGATTAAAGTACGAGAGCAAAATATGGACTGGTAAAATAAGTGAACTTATTGATACCAGTGCCGCCAGATTACCAAGAATTACGATTACCAAGAACCACCGACTAAATGAAGCAGATTTTAGTGATTCGGAGGATTATCTTTGATATAAAATATTCTTGAAAGCATTTCTTTGAATTTTAATTTTTAATGATGGTCGGAAATTGGCTATTTTTCAAAGCAGTGCTTAGAGTTTTATATTGCTGTTTACTGCATATTCAAAAGAAAGTTCCTTTGAAGCGGATTTTGCTTATGAAATGTTGAAATTATTAGATTTATTCCATTTTACTGCACACTGTCTGTGCAGTACAGTTCAGTTCCTTAATCGATCTTTTATTATGGTGTATAATTGTTTTTGTTCCTTTAGTTCACTAATAACTAATTCAATTTTTCTTTTGATCGAGTTTTTGAAAAACGTTTTTTCGTGATTTTCTTCAATTTCTTTTGAATCCTAATAATCTAATATATGTTTAATTAAAGTTATAATGGTTGGATAGGCATATGAAAATTGCGTTGTTTTCTTCGTTAAGCAACCATACCTCGAGATATGATCGATCCAAGGTTAAAGTGATGTTGCGATATTCATAAGCTCTGGTTGTTGTTAATAAATTCCATTGAAAAATTGTGGTTAATGGTGATAATCGTAATGAATCAGTTCGTAAGGCGGTTTTCAAGAGGATTTCATAAATTCGATTATAATTTACGGGTCGTATCACAGTTTACAACTGCTTTGGAAGTCATACGGAATTGTTGAGAAATCGTTTGCATAGAGTTTAGTTGAACCAAGATTGTTGAATTGCTGGATACAATGGAATTATATGAATTATTCAGCTGTTAATTTAAATAAAACGAAAGACTTGTCGTCTTATGCGCAAGAAGCCGATAAAATTCCTCTTTATATAAATTCTATAAAGTCAGGAAGTGCCCGATTTTAAATACTTTGGGTCCACTCTAACACCAAATAGCTAGATGGAAGACGATGTTATAGTTCCCGGGTTGCGGCAGCGAGAATATTCTTCTGGTTGACAAAACCTTTATGGAGCAGTCGCAAAATCTCCATTAAAAACGAAATCCTGCATCTAGCTGTGGCTGTGATTCGTTCGGTCTTGCTATATAGCTCTGGCCAATGAGAGTAGAGGATCTTAAGAAGTTATCTATACTTTTGACCACTCCAGTCAAAGTGTATTTTACGGGTCCGCCGAGCGGATAAAATATCACGTGATCATATCCACCTTCATTCAAGTACCTTGCATAAATAATGTTATTATCGACCGTCGCCTTTGGTGGTTTGGTGGTTCGCCGTCGTCCACCACAAGAGTTGTCGCATATTTGCTAAACCTTGTGATGGTTGGCGTCAAAAGCGAGCTGGGCCAATCAATATCTGGACTGATACGGTCAAGAAAGATTTTGAACGTATAGATGGATCAGCAATATATGGACTTAGACGATGGAAAAAAGAATGGCTTCCATTACTGTCGACGATGGCGTCAGTCCGTGTCGTTTGGAAGCATCTTACCCTTGTAGCCATTGGAGCCAGCCACCTAACCAGTAATGGTGAGAGCTATTAGAAGAAGAAGAATTTATTATTTTATTAATTATTAATTATTATATTATTTGCTTTATTTTTATTATTTTATATTATTTTATTAGTAGAAGCGTTCGATTTTTTCCTGCTGAAAGAAGTCAGTGTACCAAATTTTAGGGCTATGATTTATAATTTCAATGTTGCATTCAAAGGTTTCGCTTATAATTTATAAACTTTTAAAATAAACTAAACAGTGGAATAATAGAGGAAAGTAAAATGTTTTAATATTTTAATATTTTCTTGAAATAGTCCGAAAATATATAAAATGAAAAATATTTTTAATCTGACAAACATTATCATATATCTTCGCAGAAACTGCATGGATCCAAATGTCTGCCCTAAAATCAGAAATGCAGTTTCAGTCTTATTTTATAAAGGAGTGCTATTATGGCATTAATGAGAGTAAAGCCATCATAAACTTGATTTTTCCTTCAACGAAAGTTACTTTCGAAAGTATACTTTCGATCAGTACTCTTGTTTCGATCTTATTCTAATAATGAAGCCAACCAAATCAGAATTGGTGAGTGTTGTGAGTAAGTGAGAAATGTTCAAAAAAATGATGTGAAGACTTGAAATTCTTGAATTTCGTTGAATTTAGATTAAATGTTGATTTCTTTTTTTATTAAACTTGTGGTAAATAGTTTTGCTTGGAGAATTTGTGTAAATTAACAAATTTGTGCAAAAATCATTAAATATGCAGCGAAATAATTTAGGTTAGTGGGAATTTTCGTTCGATCGCCCTTATTTAAAATTTTTTAACTACTTCGCTGTCATCATTGTTTAATTGCTTTTTATACTTTTTCGCATCATTACGTGAAGTTAACTGATCGGTGATCGGGTTTTTTGATAAGAAACTCCTCTCTTACATATGTTTAATGTAAAATTGATGCTTTCCTTGCAGTCTTCAACTTCATATAACATAAAAATATATAATTTATCAGAATTTTAGAATGGAAACTTTCATATTAAAATTAATTCGGTGCTACTTTCTTAGATGCGTACAATTAATTATTTTCTGATGCCTAAAGCTTAAATATGAGACAGGCATAAAGCATGGTGACAAGCTGGGTTGGACTGAAGGATGATCGAGAATGGGCCTATAGGGTTGCCATCGCGATGTCGCTGGTAGTTTCAGTGCTTCCTTTGCTCTGCGTATTGTTTTTTATTCGATATACGAGTGTATATATGCAACAAATGGATTCACAAATGGAATATGACATCGTATTTTGTGAGGTAATGTTTTCTTGCAAATTTTGGTGGCAGAATTATTCCAAAATATGATTTGTTGCTCTTCAAAAGACTCATTAAAATCTATTTAATCAAAATCTGAAGTTTTGATTTAATCAAAAATCTGTTTTAAAAATTCGAAAAAATGAGCTAAAAAACGAAGCATCTTATTTGGGTAAATGAAGTAAAAATAATGAAATCGGAAGAAGAAATTTAACGAAAAGAAATAAAAAGGTTGTCGAAGGAAAAACTTATTCTAAAAAATTCGAGTACTTTTCAGGATGTAGTGAAAGTTGCATCCACAATGAACAGCAATCACATTGTTGTCCATCCTGCAGACGTATGTTGCATTGTTATTATCATCCTTATTCAACCAAAGCCCGAAAATTTAGTTTTAATTTTATGATCAAATTTCCGTTATTTCCAATGATTATTTTTCCGAATATTGCCATAGGAAATGATAAAATTTATTGATTTATTGATATATCACCTCATATTAAACCACAACAGGTTGTTGAATTCATCACTAATCTGCAGGAATTTGTATCATACTTTTTGGTGAATTCAAAAAAGCATATTCGAAACTTGCGAAAAGCTCCACAGCTATTTGATTCAAATCCACTACTTTCTCCAGGAGTGTTTGTTAAAAAAAACAGAACAGGTGGTCCATGCAGGTTTTTATTTTTATTTCAGTTGATCAACATCGCAAAAAACGAGTCATGTGTTCTGATTGCAGATCCTTAATTATAAGTTTCAATATAGCGATCATTTCTATTAAGATTTTTTTTAAGATGTGCTGCAGAAAGGGGTCCTAAAGGACCTCCTGGAAGACCCGGTATGAAAGGCCTCCGTGGTGAATCTGGAGTTCCAGGGATTCCTGCGATTCTTCCTTGCCAAAAAAAAATCAATCTGAAAAAAATTTGTTTTGATCCATGCCCTCCGGGCAAACAAGGACCTCGAGGAATAACGGTTTACATTATAATCGAAGATAACCAAGATAATTTTTTCACACACAATTCTATGTTATACTGTGTTTCTATATTATATTCAATCCGATTATAGATTATTATAATCCGATTATTACTTTTTTTTAAAAGGACTAAAGATTGCAGGGTCCAACTGGCGATAAAGGTAAGCGAGGAATACAAGGAAGTCATGGAAAAAATGGTGAAGACGGTGGTCCTGGTCCAGTCGGACCAAGAGGACCACCCGGAATACCAGGCCTGGAAGGAGACTCTGGTGATCCTGGTCCAGACGCGATTCCTGCTCCGTTTATAACTGGCCCTCCTGGTCCTGCTGGAGATATTGGACCAATTGGCCCATTTGGTTAGGACACTTTTTAATAAAAATATAAAAATGCTCATCACTCTCATTCGTCTTTGTCTTCACTTTTGCTCGTTGTACTTATTTTTATTATTTTTATTATTTTATTATTATTTTATTATTTATTAGTTAATATAAGATGATAAATTATAGGTCCAAGAGGAATGCGTGGCATTGATGGACCCTTGGGTCCTGCGGGCAAAAGAGGCTATCCAGGGCGAAACGGTATTCCAGGTAAAAAAGGATTACTTGGTCCATATGGTCCTACTGGCAAACAAGGAAACAGCGGTCATCATGGAGTATGTTTCTTTTTATCAGTTGATTTATTTTTTTCATTTACTGCAAAAGTAATTAATATGACGTTTCCTAAAAAAACAGCTCAAAATAAAAAATTTCAAAATTTTCTAAAATAATGAGATAGAATAATTAATATGAAAATAAAAGACAATTAATCTTAATATTTCTAGGTTTGTCCAACCTATTGCGCAATCGATGGAGGAGTTTTCTTTCTGGATCCAGAATGGTTACATTAAACGCATCCAATAATGGCACATTTTCTAAATTTTTGGTATTTTTGGCAAATCCATAAAGTGTGGCACCAAATTTGTCTCAGAACTTCAATGACGAATCATTATTGTCATGACGTGAACAGCAAATAATCATCATTGACAAATCTTTCGATGTGCATTTGTAAAGATCTGAATTTAGTACGAACCAAAACCAACTGCGCCAAATAACACAGTCTGTGTGTGTTAATTTTATTGAACCAGATGACTGCAAAAGTTCTTTAGAATTCGTTTAACTATCAAAGACAACAAAAATACAAAAGTTTATCCTTATAACTATATATATATATATATACATATATATATATATATAGTTCAGTGATCTTAACCTGTTTTTATGCATTTCATTCTTGTGATAAATAAGGCCAAAGTGATTTTATGATTTATCCAGTCTGATTGCAAATCCCCGGAAAAATATACTTTTTGTTTATTTCGTTGATTCTTAAAAATACTTACAAAATACATAATTAAAGTTTCTAGTGGTAGTTCGGCGTTTTTGATTCCTTTTTAAACAATTAACCTTAAATAACTAAAGATATGCACCATTTTCGATTTGACTAGCTCCGTTCACTATAGGATGATGCAGATTTGCCAGAGGATCAAAGAGATACAGGTGAGTTCTCAGCATAACCTGGATTCCACTTGCAATGACAAGATGTAATATTATTTGGATTTAATAAATGTAACGAACTGCCATCACCCCAAAATAATGATTTAAAACGCAGGCGATTTCAGGAATTTTCCTAAAATCTCTAAATATTCTAAATCCTTTAGTTATCAAATATAAACGAAGAAATAGATATATCTGACTTCATGCATCTATTAAATGCCAAGAAAAAGATATTTGCCATGTGACATCCAAGAAATCCATCAATTTAAAAGATCTTTAAGGATAAAAGAAAATGCAGTAGACAAATAGATATTTTAGAAATCTCCATCCTAAAACTGTAAATGCACTGGATGCATTTTTTTCATTGAAAGAAATAACTGCAACCATAGACTATAAGACTTATACAATTTCATCAACAGAGGTATATAAGCGAATAATAATTAAGCGGATTTTTAACGAATTTTTCAAGATTAATTTTATATATATATATATATACAGATATATATATATATATATCTGTATTTGTATTATATGAATATATATGAATATTTCAATACATAAATCTCAAGCAGTCGATGAAATAAAGGAAAACAATATCAGCGATTTTCATAATTCGATAATTGGGATTTTTACAGCTCAAACAGAATTAAAGTTTGGTCATTTTTATCAATATTTATTTGTTCGCTACTGTAAGGATACGAGATTTGAAAAAGATTTTTAAAAAAAGGATGACATATTAAGGCGACAACGCATGAATTATTAGAATCAGCCAGGATATCAATAACGAATAATCCGATTTCGAATTTTTTAAAATGACTGAATCACAATCTGAAAAAAAAGAAAAATAATGGAAAAACTGTTATAAAATCTTATAAAACTTATAAATCTTATAAAATCTTATTATACATATTTCATAAAACTTGATATCTTATGGTTGAAAATTTGATTTTTTAAAATGCAGAGATAATTTCAAAGTTTGAAATTTCAAATATTTGAAACTTTTTAAAAAATTACTGAGCAAATTTCCAGAGAGGATTTTAAATTTTTGATTAATATAAACAATATAAACAAACAAAAATTATAATTGAAAATCCAGAAATATCAAAGTTATCTTGAGGAAATTTTTTTAACAATTTTGTTGTGAAATCAATATTAGCTTAAAGAATTCAAATGAAGTATAAAGGAGACCTGGATTAATACTTGAGTGAGCCTCCTCTAATAATCTACAATACTTTCCATTAATATCTGTGACCACCTGATAGTGGTTATTTAAAATTCCACTGTTAAGTACAAAAGCATTCCTCATAACTTTATCATATTTTGGCCAATTTGGTACTTTCCACCTTAAATATATCCATAATTGAAGAAAAAAATTGTATGCAAATATTTAAAAATAATTATCAGCCATTATTTTTTTTGAAAAAACATGTGAATAGTTATTTTTTGATAAAGTAAAACCAATGAGAACAAACCAAGCTCCAGCAAAATCTGCCCAGTATTTCATCATTACTTCCGAAAATTCTTGTTCTTTCTTGAGTTCAGTCGGAGAATACATTTGTGGAAGTCTTAAAGGCTGACCAAATACATATTCGATTTCATATCCGTGCATTACACCCATCCATTTCGGCCAAGGGTTAGCGGATGATCTGAATTTTTGATGAATGCTTAATGATTTAAAAAAAAGTTTAATACAAGATAGATTTCAAGAAACACCTTTCTGAAAAATAATACATGTAGATTGATCCATAAATATTGTCAGCCAAGATATCGGTAAAATGGATCAAATCACAGGTGAAGAAATAATCACCAACGAAACGAGCAACACCATCTCTTAATCGCTCTCGAATATCAGTACTCGCTGATACCTAAAATACAAATAGATTGCCAAAAAAAGATTCCATTCTTGAAAATTTTCATGATGATATCAAAAAAATCGAAGCTAAAGCTACCTCTCCATAAGCATCTAGTAACGCATGTTTTACTAGCTGTGAATCAGCGAAATATGGTATGAAGGATTCCAGCGAATTTGTATATTGCCCTCTAGAATGTGTTGTAAGTATTTTTAAAAGATTATATTAGATAAAAGAATAGATAATAGAATAGAAGATAAAATAGGAAACAAAAATTAAAAAATCGAATGGACAAATGTCAGTTCAAATCAAAGTTAAATTTATAATGATTACTTATTAATAAGCGCACGATTAACGGAATCATCTGCTGATATAGTATGATTGAACTGGAAGCCCATCTTTGGGTTTAGCAGATAATATGGAAGCCAGTAAGTGCCTTCGTCTTTTACAGATCCAACAAGTACACTTACATCTTTTTTAAAGTCTCGAGCTTTTAACTTTGCAAATATGTTTCCCTGAAATTTAAAATTTGCTAATCAAAAGATTTAAAATCAACTTTTTTATGAGAATTAAATGAAGCACATAAAGAATATTTAGAAATAAAAATAAATAAAAACTAAAAAATGACTTTGAAAAAATTAACATCCTCCACGACTGCAACAAATGGGAATGTCATCGGTAATACTTGTTCAACACCAACGGCATCAGCTGCACGCTAAAAACTTGTCTTAGTGCCTTCCAATCATATTTATTTAAACTTGCATAAATTTAATAAATATAAATTCAATATAAATTTTTTCATTTTCTAATAGCACTCACCATTTCTTGTTTCGTTGACCCTACTAGCCATCAAAATACGAACTCTTTCGTCTCAAATTACTAGTGGCTATTTACCTGTCTTGGTGAAAATTTTAGTTGTACTAACAATCATAGGAATTCGTCTAACCAGAAGTGCTAGCCATTACTAGCACTTTCCATCCGTCTTTTATTTAATGACGGATTTACTCTCGTAAAGCAAAGGGACCTATGATGGTTCGATTTCAGCCAGAACAACAGTCTTTCCTCTGATATATATATGTGTGTATAGAAATTTAGAGAAATTGAGAAATTTAGAAACATTATGCATGCACAAATGAACACTGAGCACTGAGCTAACTATGAGGTGTCCTAGATGAAAAGTTTTTTAAAAACCTGAATTTTAGAAGCTGGAGCTTGTCGTATACAATGTATGATTATAGCAATATCCTCATGATCATTTTCATTATTCGTACAATTTAGCTTCTTTGCCAAAAACATTGAAGTTTTAAACATCATATTTTTATCTTTTGTTGCCCATGAATTTACAATTGCACCACTCTTAAATTCGAAACATATAAAAAAAACATATCAGTGATCAATGAATCAGAAATAACCTGCCGTTTGACCCTGCAATAGCTAGTGAAATGGCAAAAAGTGGTTAGGGAAAAAAACTTTCATTTTGCAAAATTAGCTTCTTTTAATTAAATTTATTTTTGATCAGTGTTTATTTAAAATATAAAATTTGAAGACAATTTTAAAGAAGAACTTGTTACCATTATAATAAGCTTTCGATAGTAGGCGAAACTATCTGGAGCGAATAGATGTGCGGTGGCCGAAGCTGCACCTGCACTTTCTCCGAATATAGTCACCTGAAATAACATTCGTTCATTGAAATTTCTTCCTTCGAAAGTTTAAAAATTCACAAATAGTTGATTTCATCAGTTGGGTTCAAAAGAATGCTAAGCCGTGTTCGATTCAGTCTCGACAGAAATTAATTGGAATTCTTAAATAAATCACAAATATTTTCCGCACATAAAGAAAAGAATTGATATAAAGATTCGGACCTGATTCGGATCTCCTCCAAAGGCATCAATATTCTCATGAACCCAACGAAGCGCGAGCTGTTGATCCATAAGACCCATATTTCCAGGAATAGATGAATCGTCGCCAAAATATAAAAAGCCAAATGGCCCTAACCTTCAAAGAACATAAAAATAGATCTTTTGACGAAAATTTTGCGGTTAATGTTAAGCTAATCAAGGAATTTTCAAGGCAAATATTTGCAGCGTTGTTCTTCATCAAGTTGCATTCGCCATTTTTGGATTGGTTGACTTTATTCATATATGTACGACTCTTGGTACCCATATATTTAATGCCAAAAGATTATGTGGATGGATCCAATGATTTAGATTAAATTAGCTGGCTTAAATTAACTCTTATTTAATACATCAAAAATTCACCAGCTGTTCACGTTTCAGTCATGCACCATGACTTATCAGGTTATCTCAGTGATGAAAGATCGATGCCTATCGAGTATTTGAATAAATGATATGCAATAATTAGGTAAATTTGCAAGTGAGCTTTAAATTTGCTTTAAATTTTTTGTAATATCACCAGTATAAAAATATTAAAAAATATTATCTTACCTATAATTAATATTGACCACGATAACGTTTTGTCGGCTCGCTAATACACGTCCATCATATAAATCTAACGAAGGACTTCCAGAAAAAAAACCTCCTCCAAAGATCCATACCATTACTCGACCATCTGGGTTATTTGGTACCCATATATTTAATGCCAGACAATCTTCATCGAATATCTTAAACTATTAATGAAAAACTTGGAATGCTTGAAACTCTATTTTGATACCCGAGAAATATGTTTTATGGCCAAAAGTTTTCTATCTATATCTCGATTTCCAAGAAGGATACCAAGATTGTTTATTTTTATTTTCTGTCATTTATATTAAAAATTCCATTATCAATAAAATATGCCAGGAAAAATGATGATAAGTATATGTGTAAATTTGCAATTCAAGAAAAAAACCAACATTTGGTGGATTCCACATTTCAGCTCCAGGAAATTGCGGAAATTGACTATCAGGTGTTATATAACACGTCTGGGCAGGTTTTCGTGCTTCAAATTCTCCTTGCCATGGTTCGACCATTTCAGGCAACATGAAGCGCCTTCTTCCCAGAGGTGGCCGAGCAAATGGTACACCAAGGTAAGCATTTACGATGCTATCTTCGAATTTCTAAATAATTCACTATTTCTTTAAAAAATTTAGTGTAAATAAAAATATATTAAGTTTTCAGTGAATATTAATGAAATTATAAGAAAGGAAAAAAGCAGAGTAAGACGATGGATACTATGAAATATATTTTTCCTTCGGAAATGAAATATATATATTTTTTTGGTATATCTGTTTGGAAATTTGTTTAAATTAATAAAGGAGATTATAAAGTAATCATAGAACTACCTTTTCCAAAAAATTCAAAGAATTTAAAGGGATGTAGTTCACCTGTTGAATTCCTCGAATAGTGCCTAATTTTGTATGTACAACGGCATTCTTGTTTGTGATAACTCTCGAATAAATCGTTGATAGGAATTTGCAATAAATTATTAAAATATAAAGGACTGAATGCATCAACATGTTTCTTTAGCTGCATCCTAGTTAACCATAATTAAGAAATTTTGTATCCTGGAAAGTAAATATTTAATGCAACATTAAAAAAAGGAATCCGAAAATCTGCGATTATCTACAAATATCGAAAAAGCATAAGTACTCTTCATTTTTCATATGGATGAAATATACCAACTAACCTAAACTTTCTATTTAAATAAGGAATAGTGAATCGTTCATTGATAGCATATTGTTCGAAAGTAATTAACAGTAAATAAGTGATTAGCTCCATTTCTAACTGGCTGATATCGGATGAAAATGGGATAATATTTCTGAAGGATCACTCAGGACTAAAAGACAAATGGATCCACAGCACCACTCGAGTTCTTTCGAGGCTTAGCCTTCGCAAGAATAGTGGTTCCAAACTAAGCTAGAAGTGGCTAAAAATGAAATGGATAATCTAAGCAATAAGTTATTCAACTCAGTTATTCAGCTTTTTGCCAGTTGGGAAAAAAATAGGTGTTGGGAAAACAGGGAAGACCTATGAAATTATTTGAAATTCTTATAGCTGTTATTTGTATCAAACAAAAAACAGCTATAACACAAAACCTGTTATCATTGGATGTAAAAAAAAGGCAGAATGAATGAAGTTTAAATCTAATTTTAGATATGATCGAGCGATATAGGTCAGAATCTAAAATTTGTGTGAGAACTAAAATCTAAAATCTTCGTGACATTATCTTTCGAAGAACCATTTACCCTTTAAAACGAAATTTTTTGCATTGATTAACTAATTTAAGCAGCAATAATCCGTAAACTCCAAAATAAAAAAGATTATAGAAAATGCCATTGTTAATTCCATTAAAATGCATTTATCTTAAGGAATCGAAGATTCAGAATAAAGCAAATCGCACAAAACAAAAAATTTTAAAAATTTCAGATTTTCTATTTAACGATTTTTAATATATCAATAGCGATATTCTGGAAAAAATGAAGATTGGAGGAATTAAATAGATTGGATAAAAAACGAATAATATGAATAAATGAGGAAAACAAAATGGAAATGAATAGAATCGTTGAAAAAGGGATATATCCTCAAAGCTTTATAAATTCGAGTGGTGCTCCATTGCATCGGCCAATAAAATAATATTTCTTCCAAATATGCCAAAAACAAAACCAAATATAAAAAATAAAAAAAAAGAATGTAAAAAAGATTTAGTATGTGATTATTTGTAGCAATTATCCATTCACCTGTTATTATAGTTTGCTCTCGCTTCAGTGGCTATTAGGATTTTGATCAAAGAATCGCTTGAAAATAAAAGTGCACATAGGTCCACTCACCAGCACCACTCGTTATTGCCACTTCTCTCTATTAATATCGAGTATAATGTTATTATTTAGTTAATTATAATAAAGCTAATTTCAAAAATAATAAAGCTAATTTCTCGCCTACTGGAAAGAAAAATACAAATACAACTATTTTGTTACAAATTATATATATTACAAATATTATTTCAGTTCTTTGATATATTCTTCAGTCTCCATCTTTAGGTGTTAGGTACTGAAGCAACTTGCTGAACAGTGTCAAGCTTGATTATTTTATAGTTAAACATTATACTTTGCTTGCTTAAGCATCGAATAAAACAACTAGAACGAATAACAATCTGAGTCAAATTCGCGAAGAACCTGCCCAAAAGCCTAGAAAATCTTAAGCCGAATCCGAATATTTTAAGCATCACCAGCTCTACCTTTCGTATTAAATTTTAATGAATATTTCTTCATGGGCGCAGTTTATTCAAATTTTCTTCCTTTTTTTTCTTATTCATCATTTTTAATTTGACTATATGAGACCGCTAACACCACCCGAATCTCATTTTTAATAATTCGAGAAAATTTCTGATTACCTCAATAAGTAGATCTCTTTTGAAATGGCCGAAAATTACTAATTACCAGCTAAACGACTCTTTTTCCTAATTTTGTCGGCCTTTAATTCTGCCACTCTGAAATTCGGTTAAATATTTGAGAGAAAGTATTTATATTTCAATTTACATTAAATATTTATATCAGGATCCATATGGACCAAACATAAAAAACAAAATAACTACCAAACAATTTAAAATTTGATTCATCTTTTTTAAATTTGATTGCAACATTCTGAAAATGAATGAAATTTTCTTAATGTATCGCGTACAATTTTTTATTTTTTAATAGTTTTAATAGTTTAATAATAATTTCAATAATTTTTAATAGTTTTTTAGTAATTTTAAAAGTACATTTGGTGATTAACACTCATTATTTCTGGTTAAGCTAGCTCCGCTGACTTAGTAATCAGAAATTTTGAAATCATTTGGCGATAGAAATACAGGTGAGCTTTCAGCAACATCCCAATTTTTAAATGACAGGCTTATTATGTCAAAGTCAGAAAATCGAACCTCTCTCTGATGCTCAAAAGATATCTAAGTAAATATATATTTATAAGTTTTTTTCCTAAACAAAAATTGTGATATGATTTCAAATTTTTTCACCCCATTTAAACAAGGATTTTGCTATTATTTTTCAATTAAAATGTTATAAAACAAATGAGATTTAAAAGCTTGAAAGATATAAAAAAAATCATGGGAGCAAATAAAATCAGCAAAATCATTAACTGATATTAATAGTCAAAGAAATGAAAAATGATAATAATGCTAGTTAGTCGAAATAAACGAAAAAATATTTATTTAAATAGCAGATCTATATTTTATTTGATTAATTTTTTCCTATCTTTATATATTTTTATTTGTATTCTCCTAAATTTATATATTCTCTTTCTTTCAATCCATCGAATATTGCATGGATTGCATGGATTTAATAATAAAAATTTCGATCTGCCAACAATTAATGTCAGATGATGAAAGTTCACTTGCTTAAACTTACTTTGAACGATCCAAACATCGATAAATGGTATTTAATGGTATTAACTACTTACAAAATTGGAAAATTGTGCTAACTAAACATAAAAAATTTTAAGCAATTCGCTTTATCTGCCAAAAAAAGTTGGGAAAACTGGGATCTTTTATTTTTCTTTGGTTTTATAAGAGAGCATTGATAAATTCCTTATTAATATCTCTATTTTATTTATCTTAATATTTTGTTTTAAAATATTTTGCAATTTACAATTTAATATTTGAATATATTTGAATATTCTTGGACTTGACCATGTTATTTTTCAATTTACTCGGCTGAGCTTTCAAATTTTAACTCAAGAAAACTTTTTGAAATTTATTTAAAGATGGGAACAAAGTGGTCGATTGGTTGTTAATCAGATTATCATCTCAAGCGTTAATATTCGGATCTTCCGACTGAGTAAATCTTTCAATAAAATTCCGAGTGGTATAAGGTGCTAATAGGATTCGAAAAGGTAATAGAGATAATCACTATCATAACAAAGTGATTGAAATATTTTAAAGGATTGAAGCAAATGCTCCTATTTAAATAGTTGAATTTTGGTGAAGTAGTGAGCTTAAAATTGAAAGAATATGAAAAATATTCAAATACTGAATTCTAAGATTTCCATTACTGTAATCTATTAGGATTTATGCTAAAATTCATATTGAACATAAAATGCAATGTGTTTTCTGAATTGAAAATATTCGTAAGATTGCTTTCGGAAGTTATCTTAATATGATTTTAATAGAAAAGTAATAAGGAAAAGTAATTTTCTAATCATAAACCATTTTCTTAAATGAATGAATATTTGCGATATTTTTGCAGGAAATCAATGGGGATTTTTAAAAATTAGTCGCAATCACAATCGCACAAAAATGTTTACTGCATGAAATAAAATGCCACCTTTTCCTCCGATTCCTTCGATCTTTAATTAATCTCATAAAATCACAACAACCGAACGCTGAGTATGCTACTGGAAAGTGATGGAACCTCCCGATAAATAATAAATTATGTAAATAAATTAATTTTGAATCAATTGCGAAATGATTTAAACGAATCATTTAACGCAAGATTATTAAAATTTAGGAATTATATTTATTCAGGAAATGCAATTTGAATCCTCTTTTGTTTTTTATACATTTGTCAATTTTTAAATCCTTGATTTTAATTTAAATTTTGGATTTCGTAATTTTTGAAAATTTAAACGATAAAATAATTTTTTTCGCCAAATGGATGGCGGATAAATTCGGGTGGATCAGATGGCAATAAGACCCATTTGATTTACCTGATTTTCACCATTATGGTGAAGATGTGTCAAAATGTTCCAAACAAGGGAAACAACAACGTGAAGCAAATAGACAGTGTCTTGCTAAAGCGATCGAATACAGAAAATGAAAATTTATTCTCATTTTTTAATGTTCTGCTCGTTTTCGAATAAATTTCTATAATTTTGCGAAAAACAAACAATAAACTTAATAAAAGACAAAAATAGTAGAGAAAAATTCTAGGAAATGGTCGGAAAATGTGTTTCGATATTAAAAAATATATAAAAAATATATATACTAAGAGATGCCTTAAAATGCCTTTTAAAAGAATATCTACCAATGCCAAAATGATATGAACATTGTTACAAATGTGATCATAAGCTTTTGTTTTAATTCAGCTACGATTTGCTAAATGGAATTATAAAAGTAGTAAAAGGAACATTCTATCACTTTGTTTGAATATCGAAAAAATAGAATCTTTCACGAGTTTTGTATGAAATGTATGAATTAGGAAACAAATATTACTAATACTGAGAATAAAAAAGCAAAAAAGATTTTCAGATTGTCTACGATGAGATTTGAACGAGTTTTTCAAGGCCATTTATTTATTAAAAATATTATCGAAAGAAGCCGTTTGCTCAAATCATGGCGATTATGCCGATGATTTGCTGAAAAAAATGGATATTGTCGAAAAATTTGCGTCAAAAAATTATTTTGAAAAACCGAGTGGAGATTAAATTTTGTTAAACTTACACGTTTAGATCATTAATCATTAGCTAATCGTTAATCATAAGTGACCAACTAGTAATCAACTTTTCATTTTATTTAATTGGGTGA